TATTTTTGTGCAAATTTTTAGCAGTATACAAAAAATCTGACATGAAGCTTGAGCGAAAAATGAAGCAATTTTTTTTCTTGTTATCGGCGAGCAGATATTGTGATGTGTATCAAATGAAGATAAAACAAATTGATATTTTGAATATTGGCATCAATGTGCACCTACGATTCCATTATTTGACATGAAGCTTGTATTTATAGTACTTTGTTCAACAGCTCTTGATCTATTCTACCGTGAATGGAAGAAGAAAAAAACCTAGCTTGAAATTTCTTTTTCGTGATAGCAAAGACTAATGTTTAATGTTTCGTCGGTGGTTTGGTAACCAAACTTTGGTTTGAGTTTATTTCGAATAAACTTAAAAACACAGTGAAGTTTCGGCGCGCCCCCGAATACAATATAACATTCACACGTATAAATAATGAACATGTACTTTGACGCGTATGTATTATATCAATTTTAGTCGCAGAAAATTAGAAATCGAGGTTAGGAGTTCGTTTTTCTAGATCAATATTTCAAGCGGGAAAGCAATACTTGGTAAATACAATGAACTCGGCTAGAAATTCAAGTTGTTTCGATTGATTTATTTGATACGTTCACATTTCAACAAGTGAGAAAAACTGGAGAACGGAAACAGAAACAAAAACCAAATAAACATAAAAATAAATGGATTCAATTTGATTCATTTTTGACAAGAACTAGAAATTGAAGGACGAATATTTTCCAGTCCACGACATTTTCAATCATTCATTCATCGTGTCATCAACTTTGAAATCGGTTTGGATTTCGATTTCAGTAGACATTGTGACGCAGTTAATTGATATGTACAAAAATGACGGAAAATTATTTAAAAAGATGATAATAAATTGAAATATGTTTGGGGCTAACTTACCATTAAATGACTCATTAAATTCGGACTCTATCTTAAAAAAAAAGGTTTCAACTGGAAATGTGAGAAAAAAAAATCGAGCCCCAGTTTCGCGTCTATATTGTCAATTGCGCTTTGATGTAATGTGATACCATAGTGGGTGTCCATAGTGGGGATGGTTGTATTTTTAATTGTTGTTAAGTGTCACTGGCACATACCAATGCTTATGTGTCCAGTTTATCGTTCTCTCTTTCATCTGTTCCTTTACCATGTTTCGGTCATTGTGAGTTCGTTCACTCACTCATCGGAAACATTGGTTGTCAGCCGATTGGTTGGTCTGTACACGCAACATAAGATCCAACACGCTAATGCTTATGCTTTTTTTTAAAAAAGGAACTTTAATAACGCATTCCATTTTTCTTTGCTTTTTCTGTTTCCCGTTCAAATGTGGATTCAATCGATTTTTAGCATTGTTTTTTTTTCTTCTCCAATACGCTCGTACTATCTATCTGTCTTCCTCGGCTTCGATTGGATGTAAATGTGTGGTATGCTCCGAAACATGGACAAACAAAATCCGTTTTCGAATCGACAAATAGTTTTCAGATAGACATTCGAGTCGGTGGATAGTGGCTACGTGCGCTGTAATAATGGACGCAAAATGATGGTCTCATTGTAGAAAGAATAAAATAAAAAGAATAAAAAAAATACAAATTCAATAACAGCAGTTGAAATTGGGGTAAAAGATGGCTAAATTATTCGTATTGTTTTCCCGGATGAAATATTGATCTAGAAAAACAAACTTCTCACCTTGATTTCTAATTTTCTGCGACTAAAGTGGGTTCTCTCTCTCTCTCTCTCTCTCTCTCTCTCTCATAAAAGTTTAATTCGGCAAATATGAATTTCAGCCAGCGCTATCGTAAACGCTACACTCTGAAGGTACTTGAAGAGCTGTTTTGTTATAGACGAAGAAAAAATACAAATCGCATAAATTATATGGCGGTTGTTTGTCTAAACATTTGACCCAATTATCATTTGTGGCCAATATTCTTCAATCATTATTATTTCCGTTTAATGTATGGTGGTATTTTTTTTCTCTATCAAATACAACGACAGTTTTCGCTAGACTTTTCATTTCCATGTCAAATTGAAATTTTAAACAGTTTGCATTCTCATTTCGTTGCGTTTAGATGTGCAATCGCCCATCGAGCTCCATGTCGCGAGGTGAATCAGAATTAATTTCCAAATGCCAACGTGCATTGGACGATGGAACTGATAAGGATCCAATTGAAAAGTTGCGTCTCTTGTGTTTGGCACGAGGTGCGTCTGGAATTGTTGGCTTAGGTCGGGCATTTAGGTATGTGGACAGATATAATAAACCATACTTCCTTTGTACTGAGGAATGCTCTCAAACTAAATTGTAAATCGATTTTGATTTCTTTTGTGCAGACGCATGGACGATGATGGCAACAAACAACTGTCACTCGAGGAATTCACGAAAGGTATTCAATTGTGTGATTTATTTATTAAATATGTGTAAAATTTGTGAATCATCCAATAAAAGGTCTCCGCGACACTGGCATGGAAGTTTCTGATGCAGAAGCTGAGGATATTTTTAAGCGGTAAGTAAAGGGATACTTTTATTGAAGGAAGAAAAAAAATAATTTTTCCATATCATTTCGGTTTTTTTTTTGTTAATAGTTTCGACGCGGATGGAAGTGGTTCAATCAATATGTCGGAGTTTTTAATTCAGATAAGGCCTCCAATGTCTGAAAGTAGACTTCACATCATTGGTGAAGCATTCAAAAAATTGGACAAGACCGGCGACGGACATATCACCATCGACGATCTGAAGTAATGCCAAATTTTTACGCAGCTTCCCTTGCTTTATTCGTTTCTATCCATTTGATTTACTATTGTGTTTAATTGCAGAAATGTCTACTCGGTGCTACATCATCCGCAGTATACGAGGTATCATTCGGTCTACAAATATTAATTGGCTCAATGCCATTTCTCAATACTCTAAAAGAATCTCCCTCCATTCGCTTTATCTCAATTTGCAGTGGTGAACAAACGGAGGAGCAAATTTTAAATCGATTTTTGGCAAACTTCGAGGTAGGCGGCGTCATCGATGGCCGCGTAACAGAAGAAGAGTTTTACAACTATTATGCTGGCGTCTCTGCATCGATTGATAACGATGGATATTTTGACCTACTGATGAGACAGACATATAAATTGTAAACATGAAGTGCGTGTGAGCAACGTTCACCAATTTGGTTGACCATTTTTAACAGCAAACTTTTCCAGAACAAATAAAATCACACAATTTTTGCACCATAATTATTTTATGTAAAATCACGGTTTTCTCTCAATTCAGGGAGTCTCGTCCATCTCAATGTATTCCAAGGCTCTTTTTAAGTCGATTCTGGCTGGAAGTGCCCCAATAAAAGTCACATTTTCAAATAATCAACTGTTAATCATGATGTTAATTCCTTCTTATGAGAAAGATTATTCTTATTTACGATGTTGAAGTTTTAGGTTACTTTAACCTTCAAACCACCGTGGAACGGGCACTGTATGCCCAAGACCAACTTTTAATACTTACAAATTTTTTTTTATCTCACATGATTAAAACAACTATAGTTCAATTCATTGAATATTTGGCTACATAAATAACGCTAACATACTCAATCATATAAGCACACTTTTTTATCACATGAAATGTGTGATGCATCGTCATACGTGAAATAGCCTGTGTGTCTATTTACACGTTCACATAAATTGTGTTTGAAAATTGTCTCGAGAAACTAGAAATATACATGGATCTTGAAAAGTATATGTTGTTTTTTTTTTGTATAAATTGTCAAAATCGATCATCATTTTATCAGTATTGGCCGGAAGATTTCAACAACCAAATCTTATCAAAATGCATTATGGGCACTCGAGCACCCGTTTCACGAATAACGATAGAAAAGAGGTTTCACGGTTTGAAGGTTAGAAGATTTAACCAAAAAAAAAAAAAAAAACAATTAAATCAAATCAAAGTGCATATGAAAAGAATTTCCTTATTCGAGAATACAAAGTAGGCGCATAAACAGTACAGTACTTGCTTCTCACGATGATCGATATCATCTGTTGATTTCAACGATTTTCCCAATTTGAATTGGCATTTGTTGTGAATATAGAATTTTGAGCGACACATAGCGGTGAAATCGGTGACTAAAAAATGACGTCTACTTTTCACCTGAGCATATAAAGAGACAATCATTCTGTGTTCATTTAAACTGTCACAGAAATTATGCATTCGGTTTGTTCGTCAATAAACACCAATTTCATAGTATTAAAACCCATCAATTTGAAATTTATTCGCAATTGCATCAGATGTTGCTCATGATAATTGAAATTGAAGTGTTGCACATTTTTCGAACGGGATGTTCAATTGAATAAGGTAAGTAAAATGTGCCCGGTCATTGTGTGAATAAAGTAATTTCAATTCAAGGAAAAACGTCAATGCAAATCGATTAAAAGCAACGGTTCTCTTGGTACAAAAACAACCAATAGTTTGCAAAGTTAAAGATATTTTGATGGAATTATACCTCGTTGATAAATAAAGAAAAACGTCATCAGATATGTATGGTTAATGAATACTGTTTGAAGTTCATAGTTTCTCTTTGTTTTCATTGTGATTTCAATCTGATTCAGAAATCAAAAATATTTACGTAAAAAGTGTTCGGTTGTCGTTAATTCTTCGGTTTTTACGCAACTCAAAACAATATTTCATTGTCATTAAATAGTCGAGTCCGTTTATTTATTGTACATTATTTGGTAACGTCAAAGTGTTTGGCTTTGGCTTTGGAAATTGCAGTGATCACATTCGCACAAACGACTCAAAGAACGAAGGCAGAGCGAGAGGAAAAAAAACTACCAAACCAAAGCCATTTATGTGTAGAGTGTCGATTAAGCGAATAAACTGTATCTATGTTGAACACTTATACACTGTCGATTGAATGAAAACAACAAACATACCAACACATACGGATGAGCACCATAAGCGATTCAACCCAATGACTGTCTATGGCACATTATTTGAAATATTTCTTTGTATCATACGAATCGTTCTGTTCCACTGAATGTTTGTTGTCATTCTTTACGATTTTTCATGTATACTTACAGAGCTCAGAAGAACACATAGTATTCTTTATTTGGCATTGCATTACAAAGGAAACGGCAGATAATAGTATTATTCCGGCACAACAGTCAGTACAACACACGCGCGCGCACACACATATACACACACTGACGCGATTCAGCATTTCAACAATCCCATCGTACGCAATCACTAACCAGTATCACACCGATGCTCCTCAGTTATCATTCGTCTTGGACTTGAAGTGCACCGTATTTTCAACATTTATTTGTCACATTTGAGCGCGTTTAATTGAACAACAAAAAACATGAGTTGCCGAAATCGCTTGTTTTTCCTTGTTTTGCTGACCGTATCACTTTCAGGTAAGTGATTCTCTGCCATTTAAAACGAATTATTAACTCTGTCAATTGTTTTGTATCGAATATTTTAATTGAAGGCGAGTGGAAAAGTGATCGTTGCGAGTGAAAAAATAAAACACATATTCATTCGATAACCAGTTTACGTACCAAAAAAAAATGATTGGTTTTGTGAGGTATTTGGTTTTTTCCAGTCGTAAGTCGTAAAAAACAACTATTATTAGGTGTTTTTTTCCTTCTTAAACTAGAGTTTGTTTTTTCTGTCTTGTTAGACGGAATTCTTCTAATCCAATTTGTAGCACTTATAAATGTGCGCAAGAACTAGAGTCTCAATTGTTTCGGTCAATCCTGAAATGAATACGAATTGCTCGAATCAGTTCAAGAGTGCGATTTGAATGCAAATTCCATAAAAATGCAATCAGTCGGCAATTATTTGCATAATTGTATTGTAAGCTATTTTGTTTAAGGCGTTGTTTTCACTTTGAATTTGTGTGAATCAACCGACTGGCGATGTGGTGAGTTAGTATCGGTTGTTTATTCCGTAGCTGTTCTGCACCATTGACACTTTTGTTGCCAATGTGATTGCTCGTGCTAAGTCCATGTTTTGTGACGTCCCGTGTGCTTATAATTATCAAATCTTGACATTGTATTGATTATTCAGCTGTTCGAGTGTCGATGCTCCATGCTTATCTCCTCAATCCACAAAATGATAATGATAGTGTCAATGGTTTTTACATTTATTGTCCCGGACATTTGGCCGGTCGGTCGATTGAATTGATGTGTATGTGAGCCTGTTATGGATTTGATTTGTCATCGGGTCAAGATCTCTAATCAAACGAGCGAATCGCGCAGGTTTTGGCCTTGACTCACTCACACGCCAATTTACTAATGAAAACCATTTTTAATTACTATTTTTCGTGCACGAACACTCGCCATTTTTTTCCCCATAACGCAATTCATATTTTTCACCGCAATTCGTAAATTGGACTTTCTCATCCTTTGCCGAAACCGATGTGAGTGAGGATGATTCACCTTTGTCGATTTCGTCTGTGGTGGAATGTTGTGAACGTTTTAAAATCCGCATGTGAAAATGTGCGATTAATTTCAAATTCTGATGGGAATTTTTTTGCGTCTTTAGTAGTTTGACGCCGAAAAAGAATCAATAGCAACGAACCCATTTAGATTGATTTATTTTTTCGGTGGAATAATTTCACCAAGTGACTCAATTATGTTTTGCGATAAACTATCAGTGACGCAACAAAAATCTCCAATCTTTATGTGAAAAAAATTAAATTTTGATGGTTTAAAATCCCACATTTTCAAATATGAATTGTGAAATGTTCACAGAATTCAGCCACAGATTATATTTATCTATTGAATTCCTTATGAATGCGCTGAAAATATTGAACGAAATAAAAAAAAATTGCAATTTGTTTATACGTATTTGCTGGAGTCGGAAAGGTTGTGATGACAAAAATGACCTCGCAAATAGCTAAGTATATGTGGATTTACTTCTTTGAAGTTTCTACATTTGTATGCCACACATTTTTTGCAACGTGCACAAGTGCAAGAATTGTGTTGTGTGTGCAACAGATAATGTACACTGCATAGAATTTATTAGATGAAGAGAGGGGCAGGTTTAAGGTATTCGCTGTACATCGTTTGCGATTAGTTTTAATGAATTTCAAAAACTTTATAAAGCAAGCACAAAATTTATTCTTCTTTTATTTTCAATTAATTAATCATGATTCCGATGATTTGCCTGTGGAATACAATGTGCGCGATCCCGTCAAGAATAAACAAACGAAATAATTGAACGTTTCAAGCGGTTTAGAAAATTTCACTGCTATGATTCGATGATGGATTCATAGGAGAAGATGAGTCTTGATTTCGTGTTGAATATATCGACTATTCAGAGTATAGAAAAATCAATCGTGTTGCGATTCTATTCATTCTGAGTCGAACTATTTCTTCTTTGCCCCAAATTTCCCAAGTTATTAAGGTTAGTCGATTTATAATCAAAATTGGAACGGATCTTAGCACTTTTTTTATGGTCGATGTCAAGGGGCAGTTTTCGGTTTAACACTTTCTAAGTTCATTCATTCTGAGTCGTTTGACTGCTAATCGTAGGCAGAAAACCACTTTATTCCCATTTTCATGAATAGAATTGATATAAAACATGTATTCACTTACTTCTATTCAATCGCAGAAACCTGCTTCCAAAAAAATAGCTTCCATCGTCGTGTTAATATGAAATTTCATTAATTGGTTAACCGGCTTTTTACACATCTTTTTCTTTCTGTACGTGCAAATGTTCGTTTATTACTCAATTCAATCGGAAATTGTTGAATAGCTCCGTTGTGTATTGGACGTTGGTTTTTATGAAATTGCGCAATGCAACGCTTGCCGTCTCTCTTTGCAAAGCAATCGCTTAGTCACACCGCGGACAGTAACAGTCCATAGTACAAGTACCAAACCGACTATTTAGATAATAATCGTATTTTACTTTTCACCGCTGCGAATGTGTTTGTTTAGATGATTTGTGCAGATCCACTTTGCCCGCTTACATAATCCACGTTCGATGAGTTTATCATATACATTGTATTCGGTTTCCAACCACAAATTCTGCATCATCAACTAGTTGATGATCTCCGTTTGTTTGTTTGTTTGTTTATGAACTCTAATATTTGGAATTTGAATTTTAAGCCCATTCATCGATAAGTCATCCAAATTACTGTGCGACAAATGTTTTTGGCATTTTCCGTTGATATGCTCGATTAGTAGCCATGCAAACATGACCAACGTAAAATACAATGTTTTCAAATGTTGAGAGGAAGTGCAATCGTTTTCAGTACAAGGTTTGCATGAACATACTCGATGTGTGATTCATGCGGCTCGGCTTTTAACCCGTTAAACCGAATTGCACAACGTGACGATTAAGCGCTAAAAAGTATAACCTAACGGAAATTGAAATACAAACTGTATCACAGTACAAACTCGGTAGTGTGAAGAACAATGGAATGGTGTTGATACAGTTTCAGTTTATGGCGCAGTGAAACGACACACATGTTGTTGTTAATCCGAAAGTCGGCGATTTTATCATAATCAAAATAATATTCTTGTCACAAGTAAAATGTGCATTCGCGTTACATTTGTCTTCGTAACACGTTCTTTGGCAATGATTTTGGCCTGTGTTTACTGCCATCGCTTGAGCTAATGCAATTATGACCATGTTCAAAAGCAACCGCACCAATTCAATGAAAAACCGAATCCATTATGTAACTTCTTCAGCTGAAGTGCGCTGATCCGTACAAAATATTCAACAATTATTTCTGTTTTGTTAATATGTTACAGGTTCTCTAGCTTTATTCACTTCAATTTATTGAAGTGGATTATAGTTTGGCAAACGAAATTGAGGTATCTTGATTGACATTAGCTGCGGCTATTTTGGTGTTATGACTAAGAAAAATTCGTAGCCTCTTTGTATTTATGGCAAGCATTTTAATTTTTTCCATAGACAATCTGTCACAAATTCAAAATAGCTGGAGTTAATTAGGAGATAACGTTCAGGGACAGATATTATATTAGCTGTATGTATTCACGGAAATACTTCAATTTAGTGTGCCGGAAAAGTAATTTTAATCGATTTGTATCAGATTATAATATTGATTTTGTGGAAATTCATCGTTGATTCATGAATATTTTATTTCATAAAGAGAACGCTTACGACCTGCGTTGTTTACAGTTTGAAGTAAATCAAATAATGAGAAGAAGAAGAAGAAAGAAACAAAAAAAAACATTTTTGATTTATTTTTATTATTATTTTTTTTCAGTTCAGGGATTTATTGATTTATTTTAGATTGAAATTGTTGATATTGATTTAATGATGGCTGATGATGTGGATATCATCAATTAAACACAAATTCTCAACCTTTTTTTCGGGCTCAACGACAAAGTTTACACATCATATATGTTGAACGTATGGACTCAAATCATGGTATCCCATATCTGATATGCTTCAAATATACTGATAATAGCACGAACGAACACATTTACTCAGAACAACTTGCTGGTGGATTGATTTTATTGTAGGAAAAAAGTATTATAGCAATGTGCGTAACTGCCAAAAAAATATCTAGATATGTATATAAGAAAACAAAGTACAAAAAAAACCGCGTATATTGTGATGTAAAAGAATGCCTCAGTTGAAACCAAAACACGTTTGTGGCACTTCACTTTATTATCTCGAACGGACTTTGTCCACTCAATAGAAATTCACAAACATCACATAGGCAGATTAAACTGCAGCACTTCGTCACTTGTTTACGCACCGTATGGTTCATATAGCAGATAACAACAACCTTATCTGGATGAAGTGCCTCAAAATTTCATCATAAATCAATGTTCGCTTTATATTTGACAAACAATTGAATGAAATTTACTTTACAAATCATGCATATGTATTCCCGTTGCTCTGCTGCAATTAATTCCAATAAAATATCCTCATTTCTCATTTTCCATGTGCGTTTTAGCCCAGATAAATGCAAATGACAACGAATTAGACTTGGAGAAAATCAAAGACTCAATCGATTTGGAAAAGATCAAAAAGAATTTGCCGGCTGGAATTGAAATTCCATCATCACTGCAAAATGTCACCCTGCCATCGATTGACGAAGTGAAAAAAGTGCTTAAGGACAAATGCACGAAAGTATCTGGCGGCGAGGAAGCGTATGTAGCCATCGAAAAGGGAGCCGAAGATTTAAAAACCTGTACCACCGGCCTGATCGATGTTGAAGTCTTGCGCCAAGAGATTGAAGCGGCAGAGCCAAGCGGTGAATTGGACACCGTATTCAACAAGTAAGACAAATTCGATTTTTCAAATAACTCAAACTGGTACATGTAATGAATTTTAATAAAAATTCCATCGCTAGATATTGTCGCAAGCGTAATATTGCGATCGGTTGCATGGAGAATTTCACAACAGTGATTGAACCATGTCTGGAACAAGAAGAAATTGAAGGCAAGCGAACCTTTGTGAAAATCTTCAAAAACCTGCTGAATTTCGTGTGCTACAAAGACGGTGACCAAATTGCCTTGTTCATTGCCGAAAAGGGGCCTGAATGCTTTGACGAACGTAAAGATGAATTGATTAGCTGCATGAATTCAACATTCTATAGTTATTTGCCATCGGAGAAAGAAATTGAATCGAAAACTGTGCCAACCGAGTTGCCACAATTGGTCATGGGCGCTACACAGTGCAAGTAAGCAAATAATTTTTAGTAGCAAGAGATTTTCGATTTTCGATTTTCGATTGTCAACTTCAACTGATATTCCATTTTTTTAAAATATGATTTTCCAGTGACATGGACATATTGCAAGCATGTGTAGTTAAATCGTTGGAGAAATGTGAAGAATCCACACCGGCCAATCTAGTTGAATCAATGTTCAAATTTGTGCGTAATGAAACGCCTTGCGTGAACATAACATCGGTAAGTTTTATACGACTTTCAACTTGAATTTTTGTTTTTCAATGTATCGTGCTTGTTAGTTGCCGTTATGTCTGGCTATTGATTTAATTTTTCAACATACGGGGTGACAGTTGTTTTTGTCATTTTTTGAATAACCATCATATTAAAAGCAAATAATTGACAAATTTTTGGTTTTCTATTTCAGCCATCAGCTCGAAAAAATATTGCTGATTCAGGAAATCCGAATAATGCATACAGCAGTGCTGTGTCATCGTCATTGATTGCCTCAATGCTTGCCTTTATCACCGTTAGGTCAATTTCAGCGTAGATAAGAATGCTCTTTGAGGCATGTACACAACTGTAGCCTAAAGCAACTCATTACCAACAAAAACACGAGATCAAACAAAATTAAAAATGAAGGGAATTTAAAGTAAATTTAAAATAATTTATTTGTAAATGTAAATGTAAGCGTAAAACTGTGTAAACAATAGTAACCAAAAACAACAACAACAACAACAATCATTCACAAGAAGAAGAAAAAGACAAGCGCAGTGTCACAATGCAAATAACCTGTAAGAAATGCATTAAATGTGACCAAAGGATAGTACTCTCTACCAGAATAGAAGTAAATTTTAAACAAAAAAAAATTAAATCCCCGTGCTGTTAGTGGGAATACATATTTAAAAAAATAAATAAATAAATATGTAAACAATGAATTATAATGATAACTGCAGAAACCTTTATTTATTTTGCAAGATTGCAATTTTCCACACGCAGAATTGTTTCTTTCTGAACACATTACCATGTCAATTCTTGTCAATTACCATGCAATACCATTGAAACCACAAAATCAAGGAAGAGTTTGATTAGAATAATTATGAAAATAGCACTGGATAATATTGGAGATTTTTTTCTATTACTTTTTTGTTTTTAAAAGAAAGATTTTATAAGAATCAGCATAAGATGAATTGGTCATCAAAGGAATAATGAATAAAGTTAAAAACAAAGACAAGAGGAGTAGGACATACCAAACACAAAATTGTATTTCTCTTTTACTCACTCACTCTTTTTATTGCTTGCGTTCATGTTTGCATCTTTGCATGTCGGCCAAGTGCGCCTTGGATTGTGCAAAACAAAAAATGCATATTAAAAATAGGTAAGCTGCTTGGAGGTCTAAATATAATTTAACTGTGTTAATCGTATAACTGTGGTGTTGCTTTTGTTGACAACGCATTCGCTGCGCTTCTAAACATACAAACCTGTTCAGTTGTCAGCTGATCAAAACGGCGACGATTTCAACAACGACACATGATTTGATGTGCACAGTATTTTTTTGTATGTGATTTGAGCACAGATGGTTTTGTACACGTAGACAATGTCGCAGCGAAAAGATGAAGAGATGGACATTTTGAATGATGTGTGTCGTCGTTTTTTTCGCCATTCAAATAATGAGCTACGTTTTAATTGGCATCCATTTTGAATTGCAAAGCAATCGGTTTTCAAAGCCAATGACATAGTTGCCATTACTTGTAGTTGCCATCTAATAAATCTACGTCACGTTGACCCTCAAAGCCGTTATCCTTTTCTTCGCATAGGCGAATCTCATAAATAAATAAACATCGAATTTTATTTGAATTAAATCAGCTTTTGGATTTTTATTTAATTGGTTTCATTGATTTTGTTTCTTTTGTTGGTCACATTTTTCAAGCGAATTTCTTTGCAACACACAATGAAAATTAAAAGTCTGGTCGTTTTAAATTTCTTTATTTTATCAATGTATTTCGGTAATTTCTTGCTATTTAGATTAAATTTAAAATGTAATCAAATAAAACACAAGCACATAAAAATAAATACCTGATTTAATTGTAATGATTTATTTAATATGAAGTAAAAAAAAAGATCTATGTAAAATAAATAACCAAATTTTCCCGCAAAAAAAATATAATTTAATAAAAAATATAAATCTAAATTGTAATTCGTGTGTTGCTAAAAACCGCTAAAATATCTAAGTATATGTAATAATTAACAGAAGCCGCCTGATTAAAATAAAGAAAAAAAAACGGGAACATAAACTAAAGGGGATAAATGATGAAAGAATTTTGTTTAAGATTCATTTCAAAAATCACAAAAAGTTCTATTAATTTTGTATAAATATATTTTTGTTTTCTTTATATTTTCAACAAATGATGATAAGGAATAGAACCACATTCAAGCTTCATTTTCATATTTCAGTCAATTTCGAAATATTTGTCATCTAAAATGTTCATAGAACGCGTAACAAAGAAAGCCACCAGGTTCATCGAGCAACCAAAAAAAATATGTATGCAGATCGCAGATACAAAGTACTAAAAGCATTTATTGATTTTTTATTGTTTCTTCAAAGAATACGTAGAAAAGAAGGATTTTATGTGACCTTGAGAAGACATTTCACACTTGTTCGTGTGTTGTGTGACGATCAATCAACATAAAAACGTTTCGAAACTGATATTTTCGTATATTTTCTTTGTAGTTTGTCTTCTGCTTCTCTGTTTTTTCTTACTGTATTCTATTTGAAATAAATAGTAATGAACCCGAATAAATATCTCTAAAATCGTGCTATGCATTATTTGTTTGTTTGAATTTTCAAGCGTTGCGCTGTGTGTATCTGTGTCTTGCACATTTTAGCCAAATACCAACTATAAATTTTGTTTTGCTCTCAAGTGAATATATGACGCCTTTTATTCTCTTTTTTTTCATTTTGTTTTGTTTAATTTTCGGTTTAGCTTTAGCCTTAATGCATCAATCATCGAGACTGTGTGTCGTCGTGTTGACGTGCGAGTGTTGAGTTTATGCCTTTTCCGGAATGGTTGGCATCGATGGATCATTTTCGGTGACCGGTGTTGGTGGTGTGCGTTGTAAGCGTGGCACATCGTTTTTCGCATTCGAACTGGAGGGTGATGCGTTCGCATCCAGGATATCATCACAATTGATATCAACGACCGGTTCACGCCAAAAATTGAAGCTAGAAAATTCCACCGATTCCTCGCGATCGTTGACTGGTGGAAATAGTTGATCGACAATATAAGCCATACTATGATATGTCGATTGGAATGTTTTATTCAATTCATGTTTCAATTCGCCCTTTGGGTTTATCGTGAATATACGAATGACCGGAATGCCAACGGCGCAATAAGCCCATACGTCCTGTACAAACGGAAAATGTATATATATATAGAGAGAGAGAGAGAGTAAAATAAATCGATCAATATGCGTATATATTGTGGGGTAGATCATCAAAAAATCAAGAAAAACATACATTGATTCGGTTGCCGTAACCAGCATAAAATGGATTCTCTGGGAATAATGCTTTTATGTCGCTCAAACATGCAATTTTAAATTGCTCCGGTTTGCGTTCGATGACTTCGCGATGGAAAGCCGATATCAATGACGTTGGATTCAGTAACAATGGACCGTCTGGCAGTTTAACGTTTCCTTGTTGAATCGAACGCAGATAGTCACGTGTCGCACGCGATTGACCGATTGCGCGCGCCGACAAATACAGCAGCTTGTAACCGTTTCTTTCGATTTTCGTAAAGAGTTCGGCTACGCCAAGCTGTGCCCAATCCTTTCCCACCATTGGCAAAATGTGGCCGAGCACATCTGACTTGGTGATGGTGCCATCAATATCGGAAATCACCACTTTGTCAGTGGATTTCCAACGGAATACATAGCATTTACAACGAGATGTTCCTTGATACGCAGTCGTCACACTGAATTCCACCTCATTCATTCCGGGCTTTAGGTTAAGGCTCTCCTACATAAAGAGAAATAAAATAAGTAAAAGATTCTAAGCATACATCTCCAAAACGCTTGATATGAATTTCAACTACTCACAATTTGTTCTGACGTTAGTCGTAGCGTCTTACGGTATTTCTCACTAGAGAAACTTGATTTGCTTACATCAGCCAGTTCGGAGCTGATCGAATCATCATTTTTAGCTACTGAATCAGTATTATCCATGCTTAGATTTTGCAAAGATACCTCTTGCAGTTCCATTTGATTATCGTCAGCTTTGGATTCTGGTGCGGTTGAACCACTTATTGTCATGTTATCTAAATCGTTAATTATCTCTTTCATATCATCGACGCGTTCAACACTTTGTCGCGACTCTTTCCTGTCCTGGATCTCTTTGGGTGGTGACTTTTTGTCCGCACTTTCAGTCGAACGACGCCATTTCCACCATGAATAACCACTTGCATTTCGACGATTATTTTCCGAATCTTTTTCTTGCGAATCATCCAAATCATTTTTGGATGTTACAGAACTTTTTCGGGTATCGGCCATCTTGTTTGCGTTCATCAATTGTTCAATCGCATCCTACATATAACAACATACATCATTCATTAGTACAATAATGTACATGGGTGGTCGCAAATTGTTCCAACAATAACACGGAAATTGAATACATTACGATTGGTCAGGGGTAGATATACTCACATGCGTCAATGGTTTGCGATAAGCGATAGCGGTCATGACGATCGAAGAGGCGGCTGCCCAACTGTAATATTTGTCACACAAACGAACAACTAGCAACGGTGACATGAAAATTGATGGGTTCTGGCACACATCCGCATATTCGATGAGATGATGTTCGAATTCCTCGTCGGTTGGTCCACCATTATCCAATCCACCGCATAATGACAGGGCAATCACATTTCTACCGAAGAGAAAAAAAAAAAAATAAATGTTCGAGTGACGGCAATAATAATCACAAAAAATGGAACTTACTTTTCGTACAGTTTTCCATCATGATCAAAATCAAATGCAATACTTTTTGAGACGCCATTTTCAACGGAGCTGGGGCTGTGTGGCAACGATGTTCCGTTTCCACTTTCATGGTCATCACCATCGTTCAAATTCAAATCGGATGCATTCTTTGGCGCTGGAAAATATTTAGCAACCACATCCGGATCTAAGCCTTCCGTATTCATTAAATCAGATAGATAAACGCCTCCGTCGGATGTACTCTTGCGCATTCGCATCGTTTCTTTCATGAAACTCAACATGGTATTCAACGTTGAATTGCGTTCCGCTTGTTTGGCGTCTTTGCTTCCAACGCTGTCTGCATCGGTTTTGATTGGTGTAATCGGGAACTCGCCCCATTTCCACGATGCCGTCGAACTGGTCATTGGATCTGAGTTTTTCTCACGTTGTGATATCTCAAATTCGCTATCACTTTGAATGGGTGTTGATGGTCGTGAACCGTATGGACTTGCTGCCACCTCTGTATCACTGAAGAAATGGAAATCACACATTCTGGGTGTATCCATTGTTTCCGGATGAATGTTATTTGGTTCAGTAAAACTGTCATTTGCGGTGACAGCAGTTTCCGATTTCGCTAAATCGTCGATCGACAACGATGTTGCATTCGACGACGGTTGATTTGGATCGGTGTCAAAGTCCAATTGATCAGATGGTACGATCGATGCCGAGCCAGCGCTACTGCTTGACGAATTCTTTCGTGATGCATTGCTATTCGTATTCAAACTGGGTGCTGACATGGATGATGTGGTAAGCGATGATTTTTTCTTCATCATCGACTTCTTTCGTCGCTTCTTTTTGGACTTTGATTCGGTCGGCTCCTTTGTACCGGTCGTTGCTTGTTGTTCGTCAGCTGCGTCGGCACGTGGCTCACTACTTTCTTTGGTATTCAATTTTTGGTCTGCATTTGCCGAGATCTCATCGTTTTGTACAATTTTACTGTCTTGAACTTGGTCAGCGTCGAAATGTTCGTGTTGTGGCTCTTCGGCAATGGTCGTTGCTTCCGAGGTCGTATTCTGTGAAGCCTCTGTTTCATTGCTCTCGGTTATCAATTCATTCGATTTAAGTAAAGCCTCTTTCTCCGCCAATTCTTGACGAATCTGCTCCGTTGTGTATTCCAACTTTGTTTCACTAACATTGCGACGGTTTAGCACTTTTTCACTGTACCTGTTTGAAAGTAGAAAACATTGACACAGAATTAGAGCTTAAATTTCATTTGTACTGCAGCAAAAATCAACGTAGAAAAAAAAACATTGAAAATTCAGATGCAATCACTCACCGTCTTGATTTATAGTCTGATTGTTGATTCTCGTAGACTTTTTCTTTTTCACTTGGTGACGAAGCGGTTGAATTTCGTCGAATTTTCACACCAATACTGCTATTCTCGTCCGTTTCATTGCTGTACGCATTGCACAGTGGCCAATAGGAAATTCATAAACAAGGTAAACAATTTTTAAAATGAATAAATAAAATAGTCGGAAAAAGCAAAAAAAAGAGAGAGAGAGAATAAACACAGAGAAAGAAACTACAACGAATCAACAAGGGGAAAACCGGCAACAACGAACGACGGATATAAATTATGCAATTCATTTTGCGAATTATTTAAATTGGTGTTTACTGGCAACTAGTTGCAGGTCGTAAATAATGACAGTAATGATTTGTTTGGTGAAGCTGATTTGTTTTTTTTCTTCTCTTGCAGCAAGAATGACACACAAACGAAAGAACTCTAAGCATAAGAAAAATTAGAAGACATCGCTATGCATGCACATTTACCTGTCATTGTATTTATTTGCGTACTCTTCAGATGGCAACGGTGATGTGGCCAAATTTTCGGGCAATTCGTCTAGATCATTTTCAGGACATTCTTGTACGAAAAACGCTTCACCGCTCTCGCCCAGTTTCATGTGAATGTTAACCGGTTCGCCATTAACCTCGATATCAACCTGTTTCCGTGTAATTACACGCATGATATAAAAAGGAAATCATTTTTTTTTGTTTTGTTACATACAGTGGCTTTGACAATTTCAAAAATGGTTATCAGGAAAAGACATAGCAGAAAAAAAAATTGTATAAATCATTTCTCTTCTTTTACAATTTAATTATTTTATCGTTGTCGTCGCCGTATTGGCTTAATGCTATTTAGAAGGGAACAAAAGTTGAAGTGATTCATTCGGTTTGTGCATGGATTCGTTGCTATGAATTAGTGATACATTGACCTTTGAGCGTTCAGCTAAAATGAACACACAGCTGTCACCTAAGTGTGTGTGCGCATAAGTGTTTCATTTTTTCTTCTCGGCATATTGTGTTTGTTGCCGATGCCAACCATTTCGTCGTTAAAAACGAAAATAAACGTTGTTAGGAAGGTTTTTTTTCTCTTCTCTCTCGCAAACCGCAGAACGAAGAAATACACATAAAGCGAAAAAAGATAGAAGCGAATGCGAAAAAAGGGAATCAGATGTAGACGCTAGCACACATGCACGGACATGAGCATGTATGCTTGGGCATGTACTTCAGCTGTCAAATTGTCCACTTGAATGTTTCGAATCGGAATACATACATTTCGTTCGGAATGTGAGTGAAAGAAACAGTGCGGACGCGGCGCAAACAAAAAGGGAACATTTGTTCCTCTAAAATTTTCCACGACGCCGCCGCCGCCGCCGATATGCGGCATTCATTCTAATGTAATGGCTATTTGCCGTTTTTTTTTCTCTGTCTTCTTTTCATCAACTTGCTGTTAAATTGTTCGATTTCAATGACTCGACGCGGCTGATTGATGAACGATGTTGAAATGCATTTACAAAGCAAGTTCAAGGTCATAAAGTGAATGAGGTTAAAACAGACGTAGGTACTGTTCCTAACATAGAAATTGATGAATCAGGAAATCCACTATATGAAACAACAAACACTTCTCGTCCACACACACAGAGAGAGAGACACAAACCGAATCACTTCAACTTTATTCTTGATTGGGATAGATAGATAATAAGCTGAGCAATGTGAATGTTCGTTGCAAAGAATAGTACTTACAATCTTTTCTCGGCTCCGAAGAACGCCCAATTTTCCGAATCGCACATGAAACGGCGAGCAGACAAAACTGCCATCGCCTTGTTCCACCACAATCACATCGATTGCACCCGTTAATGTAGCACCATTAATTTCATTGTAAAACTCTTTGAATGCTTTCAGCAGACTATTCATTTCGTGGTTGTTGGCTGAGCCTTGTCTTGCTCCACGTTTATTCGATTGGTTGATTACTCACGAATGGATCCTTTTTTCTGTTTGCAGCACTGTTGCACAGCTTTTTGTGTTGTGTCGACTATTGTCAAACTTGAGAGCACACACAAAGTTAAAGGGGAAATAGCGCGGCGGCGGCAGCGACGATGGCGATGACGACGACGACGGCAGCAGCAACGGCGTCAACAGCAGTGGCAAACGATAAATCGTGTAATTCTCGCTTTGTGTCGCGTTTATCCAATAATCCACACAATATTTCTAGCGAAATAGAAGGCACATGTATGTGAAAAACCGATGTGAGAATGCCAAAAAAAAAGAAACGAGCCGCTGAGCAGTGCGAATGTGACCAACGAGATAAACACAGAAATTATTTATCAATTATTCGTTGCCAATAATTTGCCCGACCGTTTGAGTCCGGTGCGGTGCGGTGTGTTTTTTTGTGTGTGGTGTGTTTGTTTCTCTTTATGTTTTCGCAGTTTCTATAATCACGCTGACTGTTGAAACTAAAGTCCAAACGAAGGTGGCGTAAGAACGAGTTAACAGCACACTCAAAAAATGAAGTTATGTCTCTATGTGTCCATCAGAAATCGGAATCACTTGAAATATTATTTGTTGAGTACACGCTGATTGATGTGTGTCGTAATTGACAGTTGACACCGTACACCAAAACTTGGTCGCGATTCTTCTTCATTCGCACTGAACACTATTCCTTTACGACTTCCTGTACTAGCTGCTTTCTTTGATTTTCTTTTCCGTCGAATTTGTTTTCTTTCTTAGTCGTTGATGCCAGCTGATTTACACTTTTTCTTCTTTCAAACAGTGTTTGCTATGCAAAGCTCATTGCTCATTTAATTTTTATTATTCACGAATTGGAAGCGAATCATGTTGAGGCGTTCGACACAGCGCACAAAACAACGAAAATATTTTTCTTTTATGAAGAAAATGACTTCTCAATACACAGACAACAATCGAAATTGAAGAGAGAGAGAGAGAGAGAGAGAGAGTGAGAGAATATGTAGCCAGGAACCAAATCAAATAAACAAGTTGTGAATAGAAATAGATTTGTGGCTTGTTGTTCTTTGTTGCTTTGATTTTTTTTCACTGTGTTTCACGTTTTTCTTTCTGTTTTTCTCTTATTACGATTCAATGCGTTTTTCACGTTTTTTTGTCTCGAATTTTTGTGTATTATTTTTACATATGCTTTATGTACGCGCAAACTTGACTGGGAAATGAACACACAGCATTGAAATTGAAATAACGACAGAAAGAAATTTCTTGAACGGATAGAGATCAAGAAAAAAATAACCACACACTGCACACTACACTGAATTTCACTTGAATTCTAAATAATACGATAGAATGGGCCGCCTGTGTCGTCAGACGCTTTCTTTTTATTCGTTGTCGTTTGCTGTTGTTGAGTTCGCGTAGTTTTCGAATTTTCTAATGAATTAAGTGAAATTGTACACGACAAAATGCACAACGAGAAGCTTGAGACATAGAATGAAGAGCGTTTGTTTTGTATTCGTACTCGATGATATTTTTTGTTGTTTCTGTTTGACTTAATCGGCTGACTATTCACAAACTACTATTATGTTGTGTTGGCCTGGGTTCCTTGTTCAGTTGCTGCTCAGTGTTGTATATATATATTTATGTATGTTCTGGATGTGCACGGTGTGTACCTTATATCGATGTTACTATTCAATTTCGATGTGAATCGAGCACCGTCGTTCTGAATGTCTTGTTGTTTTCTATCTTTTTATCGCTTTCTGTTGAATCGATGAATAAGTGCGTTAAAAAGCAACTGCAGAACTGTCATCAATCGGACGATATCGTACGAGGCGAACAAACAAAGAGAGCTGTACAAAGCTGCTGCTGTTGTTGTTGTTGTTGTTGTTGTTGCTGCTACTGCTGCGGTGTGTATGTATTGGAGTTTGTGTATTACATGTAACCACTTTAGTCACTCATTGACACACTATAATTCCAATTAACGAATGATTTTCTTTTCGCAAAGTTGTGTTGAATTTTTCGGTTTTTTTCTCGATCGTATGTATTTTCTAAGCTGATTGTATCTGCTGATTTCTGTGTTTTTTTCTGTGTGTATTTGTATGTCGTTTCAAATACACAATCACATGAGTCTTGCAAATGATGACGTGAGATGACAGCATTGAAATTATGCACATACACATGTATATGCAATACGCTCCATCACCCGTTTTCTTTGTATGTATGCGACGTTGTATGCCGCACACGTTAACACACGTATATCGTTCGCTGTTGATTTGCCCAACACACGTACCACATCGAATAAGACGATACGCATTTTGTTTTTGTTTATTCACATTTTATTGTTTTCAATGAAATTGCTGTTTTCAATACAAATCTATTCGAGCCCCCAGAAATGGAACCAAACCTTTTTAAACACGCGCGGTGCATAAATAGTTCAAACACTAAAGCCAAAACCATCGATAAATCTATTTGAGGCATTGTGGCTATAGTTACCACAACTACATTCATTCCATATGAGATATCAACCTTTGTGAATCGGCTATCGGTCGTTTATCGGTTACAAAATATCTATGTGATTTACTCATTATGAACTTTTTGATGATAAACAGTATCGCGAGAGAAAGAAAAAGGCATTTTGTTTTTTTTTTTCAAAGAGATAGAGAGAGGGAAAGAAACACATTATTAGCTTTTATTTGTCTTGTTTGGATACTTGAACATTTAAGAAACAAAAAACAAAATTCATTTTAAGAAAGTCGAAATTACAATAACAAAAAACGAATAATAAAGGGAAGTGACATTGAGAATATATCATACCACACGAAAACGTGTTACTCTTGATAATCAAGGAGTTGTTTACTGTCAAGAAACCTATTCAACGGGCACGTTTCTATCAAGAAAATAAAAATAACATTCCATTTCGCTTTTTGTTGATTACAACACATTGTTTACTAAAAAATTTAAGAAAACGAAAGAAATTAAAAATTCCCCTGAGTGTCACAGGCTTACGCCAATTTTTCGAAAGTATTAGATTAAAGTAACAAATGTTTACAATTGCAACTCAAAATGTTTCATTTTTTCACAAACGGAAATAAAAAAAATTAAAATCATGAAAATGCACACAGTTAAAATTGCAAAAGAAATTGGGTTTATTGTCGTGCTTTCATGGTTATTTTGAGATAGTGGCATGTCAACAAATAATATTGAAAAAATATTCTTTAAGAAAATGAAAATGCACACCTAACCTGGTTAAAGGGAAATTTAAAAAAAACACATTCAAAATAATCAATCGGTATTCAAACTTTAAAGGGAAAAAAAACAATTGAAAAATTGGTCCTAAATCTTATAAATTTTCTTTTAAATAAAAGCTAATTCTCTATTCTTTGTTTTCATTTCCTCATTTTGGTATGGTATTATCAGTCGAATAAACACTGTTCGTGGTGGCTTGCTTATTCAGCTTTTTGCTGTGCTTTGCGCTCCAAATCCTTAATAACTTCGGCCAAATTCTCATGACGATTGATTTTAATGAAATCAGTCTTACGAATGAAATGGAAGGTAAGCCAATTGCGTGGTGCTTCTTTCGACATTAATTCAAGCAATTCGCGCAGATTGTCGCGGGTCATCTTCTCACGGAAGCTATTCTCAAGTTTCGCTATAACTTTGTCCATTTCCAAAACGCCTTTGTTTTCCGTCACGAAAATGTTGCGAATGTAACGCGCTAGCTCGGGCAGTCGAGCGTATTTGCTGGCTTCGGCATCTTGTGATGGTCGTCGTGTCATTGCGTCGAGTTGTTTGGCCGCTTGTTTTGCGCGGATTTTCTCCAGCAGTGATTTTGGTACACCTTTCAGTACTTTGGCGACGGGATCGGTGGCCGGCGTCGACGCTGTAAATGTGACCGTACTCGTTGTCGGTGTGCTGGCCACACTTAGTTCGGTCGTCAATGGAGTGTCTGGTGTTTTGTTCGCAATTTGGTTGGCTTCATACCGTTCCATCATCCGTTCCGTCGGTGTGGCACAATTGAACAGATTCCGTGCCGTTGATAAAATGTCTTTGGCTGATGAGAATTTCTCAATGTTTGGTGGTTGCGGTATTTCTCCCGGCAATATTTCGGGGCAAGCCTCCAAATCGAATTCGGCGTGCCAACGACGGATGTTTTCTTTTGGTATATGGATGGGTGGTTGCAGACTGCGCAGGAATACATCGTGCTCATGCTTTACACGATCCAAAAGAATTCGCTGGAATCGTTGATAACGTGCGATCATTATCTGTGGATTCATTGTCTTGGTGTCGGCTTTGCGAACGATGTTATCGTCATCGAGTTTCTGTATACCAATCTCATCGTTGGTTCCGTAGTTAGCTGGCAATGATTGTACGTTCGGTGTGATAACCAATTGGTAGTAATCGTATTTGGTGTGCGAGCCCGGGTTCAACATTTTACGTTGCTCGAACATGTACGCATCTGGATCCAAATACTTGATTTGTGCCAAATGATTCTCCATCAGATTTTTACGCATCATACGCTGTACGGCTGGCTTCAGCTTTTTGAATGTAATCGTTTCCTTGCGATTATAAAACATGGCACAAATCGAATCGACACAACGGAATGTTTCCAGTAGGCTACGGTATTTGTATGGCAATTGCAATGATGTGCTGACTGCATCGCTTGCTAAGTTTGCAAAACGTTGATACGCTGGCACAGCGTTCGATTTCGTTGGGCTGAAGAGACGACGTGGTGTAGCAGCCTTTTTCGGTGACATCAAATCATCGTGAGCGACTGGATGCTTTTCAGCGCTGCCTAGCTCTTTGCGTAGAGTCTTAACGGGAGTTTTGGTCGGTGTTCGAAGACCCTTCTGTGGACTGAATAGAGACAAAAAAACACATATATAAATCAATTAAATGAAGATTAGATTCAATTAATATCTTCAATGCGGAATTGAATGAGAAATGTTTAATCTAAGGGTCACAGCTCATACGTGAGACGATTCCAAGCACCCAAATAAACACATGTGCGCTCAATTAAACTGTCGCTGCACACATATGGTAAGCAAAAAAAAACATGAATTAATCAACCGACGAACAACAAAATGCAACGCTCGAAGAAAAAGCAACAACAACAATAATGTGTGCAATACGTATTTCACAGACCCAATTAAAAGAATGCACTTTGTCATGTAAATTCACCAATGCAATCGAATTCAGGTCAATTTTTTTAAATGCCGATCAAATGTGTATGCGCCACTGCAACTTTGTTGATTTATTACCAACATTGTTGTTGTTAGTTTTTTTTCTGCTGTGTGATTTTGGTTGTTGGGTATTTCCTGATTGGAATGAAAATTTTGGTTGGCAAAATAATAACAATCCATTTATCTAAACTAAAGTGGTGATGATTGTGTGTGTGTGTGTGTGTGTGTGTGTGTGTGTGGCAAATATGAAAAAAGAAATGAAATGATGATACAAACCTTGATAAAACTTCTAGTTCAATTGTGTCAAATTCCTTGAGACTCTGCCCGCCCAGTTTGGCTGGTGAGTTGTTTGCCTTTTGCTTGGCGTTGCGTTTGTTGATACAAGCTTGCAGTTGTTCGTCAAGCTGTTGTCGTTTATTCAATAGGGCCTTCAGATCATCAAGACGTGAGCTGCGTCCAATTTTCGATTTTATCTCCTCAAATGACAATTCCTTTCGTACATTGGTCAAATTCTTGTTAACAATGCTGGCTTTGTTTGTGTCCGATGTTGATGGTTTCGATTCATCAGTCTTTGATTGTTTTGTTGGTGTCGTACGTTCGGTGCTGGCATTCCGTTCGATCGATTGGAATGCTTTAGCTGGTGAACTGGTGGATTTCTTGCGCGGCGATAGTGATCCGCCCAATGTGAATTTCACAATTTTCTGCTGCTTCAGTGGCTCTTTGCTCGCGGCATTCGTTGAGATGGCCGATGCTGTGCGCTTGGCAGTGCGTCGTGTGGTACGCTTTTCAATGGTTGGTTTGGCCTGAACTGGTGCCGATTCCACTACTTTTGCATTGTTCACTGTGGTAGTGCTTGGGCTTGTACCAAATGCATCAGCATCAACTAATTTATTTTTGGCCAAAATCGCCCGTTCCACCAACGCCTGAGCACGATTCGACGATTCATTCGTCGATTCCAAACGACTTATTTTATTTCTGGCATTCACAATATCGTCGGCAGCGGCTCTTTTCCGAACGTTAAAATACGATGCAATCGATGGAGATGCCATTTCTCGTGACCTTTAAACGGTATTTTCTCTGATTATGCTTACGGTTGCAATATACACAAAGGAATGTGTTGTGTCAAGAAAACTGTCTTTACTCGAATTCCGAAAATTTTCAAAATTTATTTGAAAATAAATTACTTCACTGTCACAAATTAAAAATAACAAAGAAAACTGTTTCTATTTTTGTGGATGGAGTGAAAAGGTTTTTTTTCTTTCTTCTAAACTATGTGAATAAAATGTGAAACGTGATGCAATGGTGACGAGATGATGAAGCGTCTTATGCCTTCATTTTACTTTTCACGAATGGCAACTGTAAGTTTTCCCTCCAAAATTAAAATCCACTCAACGGGCGAATTCCGACACATACAGAACTACTATGGCGCTGCATGACAATCAGCTGACAACATTGTTTACTGGTTTTCGAAATCGCCGCACGTCGGTTTCTGTTGCGGCTATTTGGTGCAGGGTTGGAATTCGAAATGTCGCCGCACAACAAATTACTCAATTTTATTTATTTCATTGGAGTACTTTTTGCATTGGAATTTACCTGTTTTTCTTTGTTTATAAATTGCGGGCAAAAAATAAAATTTAAATTCAGTTTTTTTACATTTGTTTGATTTTTGCGGTAGATTGTTAAGTTTTTTTTTCTCATGCCGTGATCTCAAGAACAAATGTTTAGAACACATTTCGAAGTGTTTCGAACTAGTTGACTTATTTTACCGCGTAATTTCGTAGACCGTAATTTGAATGTTCGATTCTTTAGTCAAATTGAAAAGCATCACAAACCAAAATGAACAGAATATAAAATGAGTTCTATTGATGAACCAGCCACAACTGTGGCAGCAAAAACTATAAGTGCCATAAATAGAGATACGGTTCATAAAATATGCTCGGGTCAGGTAAAGAGTATTAAGAAAAACCATAAATCCATCGGAATAAAGTATCTAATGATTTTGTATGTGTGTTTTTTTCACAGGTCGTATTAAGTTTGGCTATCGCTGTGAAAGAATTGGTTGAAAATGCTTTGGATGCTGGAGCAACATCGGTTGAAGTAAAAGTGCGTGAAAATGGACTGGAATCGATTGAAGTATCGGATAATGGTAGTGGCGTTGAGGAAAGCAACTTCAAAGGATTAAGTAATTTAGGATTTTATTTTCGCAATGTCGATGGAATTTCACTGAATTTATTCTGAACATGGTTTCAGCGGCCAAATATCACACGTCAAAATTACGAGAATTCGATGATCTGGAAAGTGTAGCTACGTTCGGCTTCAGAGGTGAGGCTCTGAGCTCTCTCTGTGCTTTGTCCGATATGACAATCACCACGAAACACCACTCTGTCAATGTGGCCACCAAATTGGAGCTGGACCACAACGGGAATATTATGAAACAAACGTAAGGAATGAATTGACTGTGAATTCCCATGTGGAAAATTTTTTGACTGACTATTCAGTCGATTAGTTTGGGACATTTTGACTGACTAAAAGTGATTGTCTCGAACAAAATAAGCAACTGCAGTTAACTTTAATCACAAATCACTCTTAGTCAAAATGTCCCAAATTAGTCGACTGACTGAAAGAATAACTAAACGTGATTGTCTCCATACAAAACGCATGATTTCAATCAACTTAGCCAGTTTTAGTTGTGTATCACTCACTACATACAGTTACATACAACTGAGTGAGTGTTAGTCATTTTATTTGCACACGGGTTACATTGAGTAATCATATTTTCGGTTCACTTACAGTTCATGCGCCAGACACACTGGTACCACAGTCACGCTGACCAATCTCTTTGCTTCCATACCGGTTCGAAAACGTGAATTTCAACGAAATATTCAGAAGGAATTTGTTAAAATGTGCCAAATTATGCAGGCATATGGCCTAATTTCGTACGGCAAACGCATTGTTTTGATCAATCACACGGGTAAAAACGGAAAATCCAATATTATGACAACACACAGTTCGTATTTGCTTCGTGAAAATATTGTGGCTATATTTGGTTCCAAGCAAAATGCCAATTTACTCGAAATTCGACCGCCCATCGAACAGAATGAAGTGCTCACCCAGGATGTTTTGAAAAGTCTGGACGCTTCCATAAATGTGGCCGATGAAGAGCTGGATAATTTAGGATTGAATCGATTTCAATTCGATGGTTACATCTCAAGCTGTGGCCACGGCTGCGGACGAAGTGCAAAAGATCGACAATTCTTCTTCATCAACGGGAGACCGTGCGACCCAAAGACAATCATCAAATTGGTGAACGATGTGTATCACCGGTATAACCAGCATCAATATCCATTTGTCGTGATCAATGTAATTATGGAACGGCGAGATGTTGATGTCAACGTAACACCAGATAAGCGACAAGTCATGGTGAACAATGAAACCATTCTGCGGTTAGCGTTGAAGAAAAGCCTTTTGAAGACATTCGGAAATATCCCATCCACATTTAAAGTGGAAAATCAAACATTGCCTAGTCTATTGGCATACAAACAGAACAAAAGTGGAAACAATCGTTCTGCAGCGGCCGAAGAAAGTCCATCAGATGTAAGTATGGTGAAAGGGAATATGGGCATCATTTTGATTATTCATATTGTTTGGTTCTTGTTATCATGTCTGGTATTGGGTTTATCATGTGATTATGGGTTGAAAATATTCACATTTTAATTCAAATTCAATTGAATTTGCGTCAAAATAATTTTGTTTACGTTTCTATTGAGTTTCTGCAGGCTTCATACATCAATGATGATGACTCTGATATTACGGTCTATACTGAAAAAGGAAATGCCAGCAAGTTTGCCAGTATGCTATCGCAATGGCGTGCAACAGGCCGAACAGATGAATCATGTTCGCAAAACACAAAGAAACGCAAACATGAATCGGCGGATGAAATTCTTGCGCGTAACTTGAAAATGAAGAAAATCCATGAATATTTGTCACAAGACACTGTGCAAACGGAAACGAATTTTGTGAGCTATGAATCGGAACCGGACTCAGATGATGATGAGCCAAATACAAAATCTAGTTTTACCAAAGTGAATGATTCTGAGAGTGGAAGTGATGCTGTGTTCAAGCGGTCAATCAATGATGTGATGGAAACCGATTCATTCGAGGATACTGAGATGCTGAAAAACAACAATTCATTTGATGCGGAGATGTCGCCTGTAGCTAAACCACCCGAACGTGACTATCGAATCGATTGCAAGGTAAAAGCGATTAACACGCCGAATCGAATGCTCAAAACATACACACCAAGCAAAGACATCCATGCGCTGGTAAAGAGGTTTAAAATGGGCCAGACCGACGAAGGACACACGAGCAGCTTTACATGCCAGCTCGAAGAAGCCAGTAGTTCCGAAGCCGGAAAAGAAATAAAACCAGAAATAGCAGAAGAGGAAATATTTGACGATGAATTGGATGATGAAACCAGTGGATCTCAGCCGAAAAAAATTGCCACCATTTCTACATCGATAGCCGAGATTGGAGCGTTCATGGAAAAAGAAATTGAACTGGAGGCGCGTGCCAGCACAGCGTCCATGTTGAGCCGAATGAAATTCAAAACGAAAATCGATCCAAAGCAAAACCAGTCGGCCGAAAACGAGCTGAAAACGGAAATTTCGAAAAAGGATTTTGTCCGTATGGAAATCATTGGGCAGTTCAATTTGGGCTTTATAATTGTTAAATTGGATGAAGATTTGTTCATCGTCGATCAACATGCCACCGACGAAAAGTACAACTTTGAAACGCTGCAAAAAACAACAGTATTAAATCATCAACCGTTGGTTGTGCCCCAGGATCTGGATATGACGGCTGTTAACGAAATCATTGTGATGGACAATTTGAAAGTATTCGAAGATAATGGCTTCCGTTTTGATATTGACATCGGGAGGCCGGTGACGAAACGCGTAAAATTGATAGCGAAACCATTCAGCCGCAACTGGGAATTCGGAAAGGAAGACATTGACGAATTGGTATTTATGTTACATGAAGGAACAAGTGATGCGACCTATTTGGATACCTGCCGACCATCTCGTGTTCGAGCGATGTTTGCGTCACGGGCATGTCGATCGTCTGTGATGATCGGTACATCGCTGTCGCGAACCGATATGCGACGTTTGATTGATCACATGGGTACCATTGATCAACCGTGGGTAAGGCGACATTTAACGAAATTCCATTTATTTTTCATTTATTTTTTTTCTCTTAAAAATGTTTTCAAACGATTTCTTTTCCATTAATTTCCAGAATTGCCCACACGGCCGTCCAACCATTCGTCATTTGCTAAATTTAGAGATGTTGAACATCACTGATGACCAGGATGATAACGGCAACCAGTCTACAAGCGATTAGATGTGCAAGTTGCATAATCAAAAAACAAACACTTAATGCATAAGATTAAAATGAAAACAAGACATTTTTTTTATGATTTGATATATTATGATAAAATAGACGTGTAAGCCAGGTTAATCAGAAATTCAAAACATTCGATATTTGTTTTTGTTTTTAAAAAAGATTACATTTATATTATGATACTATTTTCTGGCGGCCCTGAGTTTTGCCAATTCTAAACCTTCCCATTGGCCTTTCTTGACGCAAAAACTGTAAAAAGGAACACAAACACACATTCATAATGAATAAAAGTAAAAGACAAAAATGATTTATGGTTTTTTTTGGCCGACGTACTTTTTCAAACAGTAGTCCAATACTTCCTTTTCCTTTGGAGTCAAGCCATTCCAGAAAGAGTCCAAATTAATATCGACAATATCTATAGTTGCCATTCCGACCAAAAATGTTGCAGGCCCCTTTAGTTCGGCTGCATACGACATGGCCAATTTTCCCAATTCGACTCCTTGCGATATGCAGTAATCACTGCACAAACGAGCCTGTTTTTTTATTTCATCGGGTGCTACGTGCCATGGACGTGGACCATCGTTTGTGAGTAGGCCCATTGCAACACTAGCAGCACAAATCAATCCCAAACCTTGTTCCTGATTGATTTAATGAAATGAAATTTTCATTTAATTGATATGAGCAATCAATGTCACTACGATGTATGACATTCTCGATAATAATATGTATCAAATCTATATTCAAGAACATAAAGTATCCCTACCAGAAAGAATGGAACGTATTCCAGTAAAGAATCGTCAAGCAACGTGTATCGGGAGTAGCACAAAACCGTCTAAAATTGGAGAGAAAATACATGAAATGAAATGGAATAGTTGTTAGCACATGGCAGTAAAGATCTCACATCAAATCGACCAGGTGCTTTTAGAATAAGTTCTTTGAGTGGTTGAAGTGGATATCCACTGTAGCCGATGTAACGTGTTTTTCCTTGTTTTCGTGCCTCCTCAACAGCTGGCAGTGTTTCATTAACAACAATATCTAAATTGTCGGCGAATTCAACGTCGTGAATCTGTATTATGTCAACTGAATCCAAGCCTAAATAGCTTAAACTTTGATCAATTGATTCTTTGGTTTTCTTCGCTGAAAAATCAAATTGCGCATCAACCGTGTCGCCCATATTGTAACGAGCAACTTTTGTTGCAATGTAATATGCTTCACGTGGAATGCCTTTGAGTGCTTTTCCAATGATTTTTTCCGATCGTCCCTGGCCATAATATGGAGCTGTGTCGATATAATTTACACCCGATTTGAGAGCATAGTGGAACGCGCGAATCGCCTCCTCTTCACTGTCATTTCTGAATACAAAAAAAAAATACAAAATTGAATGATTGCAGTTTATCTGATTTGCGAATAAATTTAATTTGGTTCTTTTTGCGTTGAAAATATACATTTTGCTTGCTTCTCAATATTGAATAATTACAAATATTCAGCTTTTGTTTCTTTCTCGCATTTTGTTGATTTTTTAAATCAAAATCAGGTGTTTTTAAACCCAATCTCAAAATGTATGTTTTTGTTTTGTATTTAAAATATTCGATATCATGTTTTTGTTATTCATTTTTTTAATCTTACAAGTGGAAAATCTATTTTTATACTGTGCATTGAGAATACTAACCCGTAATAAGGGGCAAGAGTTCCACCGCCAATTGACAGCCTGGACACAAACAAATCGGTTTTACCAAGTTGGGTGTAGTTCATTTTCCGTACGACTTCTTCATCATGAAAACCTTTGACAAAGGTAGGTGGCAAACCGGCCATTGTGTTATTTATTTATACCAAAACAATAAAATCAGGCGACTACGCAGAAGATTTTGGATTGCTTTCAATGAAGTGTCAGCATCAACTTATTTATACAGAACCCAACGCATTCAATTTATAAGTAGAAGCATAGCATCAACTGGCACAAGTGATAAGAACGCTGCTGTGTTAGATATAGAATTTTATTTAGAGACACACCAACACATCGACAATGAATGAATTATCTGCTTTGTTTCTATGATGGTGGTAGTGTTGTTTCATCTGTATACAAATAGACACGTATGCATAGACAAGTGCTTTTCAAAATAAATGATCAACGGAAAATTTGTGTCGACTATTTTAAAATGTCAAAAATTGACAGTTAGTGGTTTACATTCTATTTATGTACGAAAATAAAGCAAAATAACAATCAATCGTTTATGATTTAAATCGATCAAATTAAAAAATATTACGGTGTACAACTGAGATTGGTATAGTTCCTAGGATGATGAAGATAGTGCAATTGATTGCGCGCAAATGACACACGGTGCTTTTGTTTACATCGTAAAATATTAAAAAAATTTATTTTCCATTTTTGAGGTTTTGATGACAAGAAAATAACTTGAGTAGACTCTATCCAATGCTTAAACGCTGATGGTTTTAAAAACATTGAATCCGCTGTGTGCCGTTGATAGGATGACACCAGGGAGTTGTGGGTGCCAATGCAATTCTTTAATATCAGTTTGACCTTGATGGATGAACAACAATTGCGGTGGCAAATTGCCCAAATCATCCTCTTCGGTTGCTCCATTGCTAACACCGGCTGCGGCTTCGGTATCTTTTTCCACCGCCAAATCCCATAATGCAATTTGATCATCAGCACCACCAGTAGCCAACACGGTTGAATCAGTGGGATGCCATTCGACCGTTGTGATTGGCTTTGTGTGATGTTTGAATGTGGCAATAGGTGTTCTTGATGCAAATTGCCGTAAATCCCATATGTTAAGCACACCATCGTCACCTCCACTCGCTATAAACGGCTCACTTCTATTCCAACTGATTACATTGATGTCATTACTGTGTGCATTTTCGCATGTCAACATGCATGCCTGGAAAGAACATTTTTAATTAGTGAAAATCATTGGCAGGATTTGGATGGATTGTTTGTTTTTCTTCAAAAAAAAAAAAAAAATGATTTTCAAATCACAAAAGATCTCTCACCTTGCCTGGTGCAGCTCGAATGTCCCAAATTCGAATGCTTTTGTCAACGGAACAAGAGGCCAAGACACTTTGTTCATTGGGGCTCCATTGTAAATCTTCGACCGAATCGGTGTGCCCAATTAATGGTCGTTGGTCAACATTCCATGTGCCTGATTCATGTGGTTGCCAAACGTGAATATCCCTCCGACAGTCTCCAGTTGCCAACAGACCTGGTGCGACTAAACTCCAATCAAGCGCAAAACCTTCTTGTTGATGGCCACTAAACGTGAACAGACTTTTTGCTTTGTTTGCTTTTCCCTCTTTTTGGTACGAACTAAGCAACTCTTTGTCGTCAACGGCCAACAATTGTTCGGATATACTCCAAATGTTCACTCGGCCCAATTCACTCCATGCCGCTGCTAACACATTGTTTGCCACATTTGTTGTACGTATCCGATTTATACAACCGGCATGTTTGATCAACGCACAATCCATTTGTGGTTGTTTTTGTTTGGACGATCCGTTTTCTTCGTCATCTGATTCCTCCTCGGACTCGTCATCATCGTTTTCTTCGCTATTCCGATGCAAATTGGACATTTTCATAACGATAATACTGCAAGCAGAAGCAAAAATATGTTTGAAATCGATTCTGTCTTCAAAGTAGAAAAAAAATCTGTTCCATATTTACTTGTTGACATGTGCTTTGGCTGCTTGTGTACCCGCCACCATATAACACGACAACGGGAATGTTTCACGATTATCGCCCAGTTGATCACGAACGATATCAAAACTGAGGCATGGTGCTCCAGTTCGTGCTTGGTGCAGCATCACATATGCTGATTCGTCGCACACCAACTCTTCATCGGCATCAAGTGGCTTTCCCGGTAGATAAACTTGGCCTGTTTCATCTTTACTATCTTTTCTATCACCTTCCTCGTCGCTCGAATCACCACTGCTGTCCATATCCTCGTCAATGACTTCATCAGTCACTTCCATATCCATTTCCTCGTTATCCATCGTCCGGTTATTTTATTTTAATCAAACACCAAACAATTCACAATCGCCACACACGACTCTCAACTATGATTTCGTTCAGTCTAAATGTGAGTTTTTTTTTGAGGTTATGTTTGTCATAATAAAACAAACACAACACGTGAACCAAATGTCAAAATGCGAACTGTCGCATTTCTGGTTTGGATTAAATTCCATCTGTTCAACACCATCTGTTGTTGGAAAACCCGTTGCGGTGCGACCAATAAAAATGTACACATCTTAAAGGAGAAAGTAAACGAAAGTATCGGAAACGTATATGAAATCCCAACGAAAAACGTTTATTGCATAAAATAACGTGAATGAAATTTATTTTCCATATGATTGACAAACACAAACCCTCCAAAAAAAAAAAAACAAATTTCATAATTTTTACCTCTCCTAAAAAACAAATTCAAGTGACGGTTTCTCACGCAGATCGATCTAGCAAAAAGTATCGTTTTCTCGGAAGCATCAACTTGAACAATTTTTAAGGGAATTCAAAACAAACAGAAGAGAGTTGATAATTTGAACACATGGATATGGGTATAGGGATGAAAACAATTTCCATCTTAATACTATTCAGTTTTGGTTAAAGGAGCTTTGCATATATTTCTTTGGTAATTTTTATTCTAAATATTTCCAACTTAAAATTACATTTAAATTGATTGCTTTTTCTTTTTTCATTCAATTGGACATTAGTGTCATTGGTTAGAAACTTTGGTATAGACACATTAGCCATGCCGTTTGATTTTATCCATGTTCCGTGCGCAGAGAATTGTTGTTAGTTGGTATTCCACTTTTATGTTCGTATCTGTCGTGGTCATATGAAATGCTGGATGCATCGCTGACGGATGAATAAAAATTTACATTGTAATGATTGGCCATGGCTGCATCACGTTCGTACCATACAGACGGACTTTCCTTTGAACGATTTAATGCAACTGTTTCTTGGGCTTTTATTCCGCCTGGCTGTTGCTGCGATTGTTGCTGTTGTTGTTGGAACGTAAATGGCCAAACCTGAAACCGATTGAATTGATAAGAAAATTAGTTTAAATAAATCCAAAACGAGTAAAATAAATCAACTTTATTTTTTGATCAAATTCAAAATGCATACATTGAGAGAGACTAAGTAGAAATGTTTTACTCCTTCATGATGAACAAGAAAATTTGAATTATATAGCAAAGCATCGAATAGTGAATGGTCTTTTTGCGCGGAAAGTGATGTTGGTGGTCTTTTCATTATTCATGTTAAGCCAAATCTGATTACGCATTACGCAATTCGTTAAATTCTTTTTGATTTCTTTTTTCAAAGTCGTCCGACATTTTTCTCTACTCCACAAAGGATCGGTTTGTTTTGATTTTGCACTTGTTTACGTTGTTTTTATAAGGGGTCTACTTAAAAAACGGATCATTTTTCATTTTACCAATTTGTTTTCGTTGGCCAAATGTTTTGAACTGTAAACGGTGTAGTGATGGTTTGTTATTGTTTCTTTTACGATTTTCTCAATACGCAATCCCAATAATAAAAGTGAATTGGGCATGGATTTCGTTTGTTACCGTTAAATAAATACAACGGCAGAGCAATTGGGAAATAATATGTTCAAAGTTATATTTTCTTTAAATTTTATTTTCTTGAAACACAAAGGAAGCGTTGATTTGGGTGTTGTTTCAAGTCATCAGTAGTGAACACATCAAAAACAGACAAAAAAACAATCTCAGTTCAAATTGTAAACAAGGCAGGCAACATCGACTTTATTCATGCTTGCCCATCACACATCATACTCTCACTGTTCATCTCCTAAAAGTAGTGTGAAACAATTTAAAATAATGATCGACCGAGTGTTTCCAACTGGCGCACAGCCCATGTCTATTATTATTACAATCGTTTAAGTAGATGGGAAATTATATCGGAAGAAAATATTCGTATTTTCAAGTGAAGAGTGTCTTGCGTCAACCCATCGATTTGCCGATGTGACTACACAACATTTTACTGAGCTATCCAACATCCATATTTCAAAGAAGATAAACAAAATTCCATTTTCTTTTGATAGCTGCTTCCTTAGTTCCTTCTAACCACGGACGATCACAAAAAGGAAAAGGAAGGTCAATTACATCGAGACAGAGCGAGAGATTGAATATTGACGCTTGTGAGACATAATCCACCTGGACGCATTACTAGAACCAACGCAGTAACATACTGACTGTTCTATCTTTCTTTATCGCTTTTTATAAATGAAGTTGGATTGTAATTAAGATAATTTTTTTGGGGCAGGAGATGATTCATATTCCTCGCTTCAGTTAAAATATAGAATGCCATGACAAAAAATCGTCGATTTTTCCCAAAAAAAGAGCGACTTTTCTAGAACTCAGGCTATTCGAATATTGAATCATCGCATTTTCGAACATTTTATTGGAAATGAAAATGATTTCAATGTACAGTAATCGAAACAACGTACTTTTTTTTTAATTTCTTCTCTTTTCTTAATTGTTTTTGCTTTTTGTAAAATTATGATTTGATCGATTATATTTAGGATGTCTAAATTCAAAGCATTTACACTCACCAAACTCGGTTGATTTGCACCAGTCGATGAATTTGTATCGAATCGTGAAATTTCATTCGTATAATACAAATCTTGGCCGGTCGCTAAGCTGGATCGCAATTGTTGGATATAAATGGTGGCCAATCTCAATGTATCTAATTTGGATAGTTTGGTATCTGCCGGGACCCAAGGTAATTTAGTCTTGAGACGACAAAAGGCACTAGATAAAACACGCATTCGAGCTCTTTCCCGTGCATTGGCTGCATTCCGTTGAACCGGCATCGAATTTGAATGGCCTTTTGAACCTGGATTTAATTCAATTGAAATTATTCATCACCTTTGTATCTTCACACAATATTTTTCGATGATAAAAAAAATCAAATTAGATATTTACCATTCGAACAACTATCTTCAAAATCATCGTCAAAATCTTCGATGTGACATGGTGATGCGGTACGTTTGCGTGACATTTTGCCTAATATATTTTTTTACTCAATTTAATTTGTTCAATTGATTTTTTAAATGATTTTTTTCTCTATTTTCAAACAATATCGAACTGTAACGGCACTTTTTTTTCGCACAACTAACTCGATAATTATATGAAATTATCGAAAGTGATATTTTGTCAATACACTTGAAAACTTTGAAACGAATTTTTATCAGTTCACGAAGACACTTCGAAAAATTCCTTGTGTTCCTCAAGAGGGATCGATAGTTTTTGATCGAGTTTTCCAAATCTGAAGGGTGTCGAGGAGTGAAAAACCGATGCAAGTGTAGCGAGATGTGAATGCTGCTTCGTTGTGGGATGAGTAAATAGCTGTGATTTGGTGTAACAACATCCTTACATTTCATTCATTTGCTTTGAGTTCAGTGTTTTTGTTACGAAGGGGGCGGTACTTAGTGTATATATGCCTTCTATTTCTACTCATGCCCAAATGTACACATTTAAATAAGCGTTCATGCAAAGAACGAAAAAAGATCAGAAAATTGAAGAAAAAAAAGAGATCATCTCTGCGTGATGATGATTGAGTACTGAACGTCGATAGAGATAGACACGCAAAAAACGATATTCATTGAATTGGGCGGGCACTTACTCTAGATACATGCCGTAAAAGGACGAATTCTAGTACTCGCTGATTGTAATTTAAAATTGCGAATGAATTTGAAATTAAAATAACAGTCATTGATAATCAAAAACAAATACAGCCTGGAGAAGACCTCTGGATGAATATTAAAATGAGTGCTATGAAGAAGAACATAAAAATACTTGTCCGAATTTCAACAAATCGGCAATCGAATCGTGTTTTGTGCGGTAATTTAATACAATTGAAATTCTGCATTCCTTGTTCTACACATAGAAAATGCAGACAAATTATTTGGGACGATTCTTCGAAGAAGAAAAAAAGAATAAAAACCATGTAGTAGGCGTTGAAAAACGATTGTGCATAATAAATTGATCGTAAATATTTGCTAAAAGACAAATCGACCCTGACCGCAAATGAAAACAATATGTTTTCCATCCGAGTAAGCGTGTGATGCCGAATGCTGGTGATGTGTGTCATAAGTGAATTTCTTTTCCAAATCGGTCGAAAGTGTCGTGAGCGCTCAATCAATAATTTATTGCCGAAATTGTTCGGGTTCGGGTTTTCTTGGTAAAATAGATCTAAGATTTCGGTGCATCATTCGCGCGATGTGCAATTGTGCATACGGTAAAAAGTCATAAATATTACGAAATGATGTCCGAAAAGGAGAAGAAAGAAGACATTTCTCCAAGCAATTCAAACGCATGTAATCGGATACTTTCTGCGTCAGCTATTCGTCGGGTCTAAAATATCTTTTAAAGAATCCAAATGCCGATATGGTGCTAAAGGTTCATGCGGTTCGAAATAAAATGCTCTTAAAGAAAATCCACAAAATTTATGAATGTGTTGGCGCGTTTTACAAATCACTTTCCACGCACTTTGAAGAGTGCCACTGTCAACGCCGTTTTTCATGTCCTAATGATCGGTAATTTGTTGTAAAACACTCAATAAATTTGAGTCAATAATTCATACGAAAATCATTTTTTTACGATTTAATCTGTGTTGAAATGTGTCGTCTGGCCGCAAACCAAAATGGAATCGAATTCATTTTACTTCGAGTCATAAGAAATACAAACTTTATTTTTTACACGTCTACCTATTCCGACCATTTGAGTGGCCTTTGAAGAAGAAAAGAAGAATTTGAATTTAAAATCAAAATCGCATCGCACATGTGTTACCATCTCACGTTTATTTGAATTACATTTTCATTAAATACAAATAGTTCCGGTGTGTGTGAAAAAACGAATTTCTGTTTTTGGAATGCAACTGGGATTTTTCTTTATACTTATTGGATTGAATTTCTTTTCTTTCGATTAAAAAAAGAAAAGAAGTATTGAAATTGTATGCAAATTATTCGTATAAAAAATTATGTGTGTGTGAGTGTGTCCGTTTCATTTTCTGTGCATTTTGATCCATACAAGTGATTATGTGCTTAGCAAAATAGACTTTCTTTTTTTTTCTAAAAGTTAACAAATTTCTCGTTCCCTCAATTTTCAAAACGATTTTGTTCGCGTAAATTTCATTTGTGTTTTTATAGACTACACAGTTTATTTCACTCAATGTGTCATTTCGAAAAAAGCTAGTAGGCATTCGATTTGATTTTGGGCTATGGTGTTACAAAAAGAGATAGCGATAAATAATTGTTGCTAGAATGCCCAACACCAACGGGATCAACCACTGTTTGTATGCTCTGGAATGAAAAGAGAAAGTGGGAGCGTGATTAGCATTTTATGGACAATGGATATGGTTGAAAAAAAAAATAAAAATAAAAGTGTGCCTACGATTCTTCGTCCTTGGTTGATTGATCGTTGTTCCAGTATTGGGGTGTTTTTTCTTGTACTGCTGTTCGTTCCGATTCGATAACCTCTCCGACTTTGTAGCGTTGCATCATTTCACGGGCATCGGTGCTGTGACCAACATCTTCAAACGATTCCGATGCATCTTTACCGGCTTGTTCCAAAAGCACCTCTTCACCACCGGGATGCTATAAATTGCAATAACAAGAAAGAAAAAGTCGAATAGAGTTATTGTGCTGAATTTTTTGGTCACATAATCATTTGTACACTTCTTCAAAGTATAAATGCAACAGACGCTTAGAATTTGTAATGTTAAACACTTGAGATAAGTGGTGAAAATTGGGCAATGAAGAATAAACAGTGAAAATTATCGTTAAACCGACAAATCATATGCGAAGAATGTGTTTGGTAGTTGAAAACATCGACCCATTTAGTGTAAATAACGAAAGTTTTCAAAAACCGATGCAAATAGTTTACCAATTATTTTTTTGACACGCATGCCATGAATACACGACCTACCGGAATTTATGAGTGTAAAGATCAGACTGTTTATTATGGAATGGGTTTTGTTTATGTGGAGTATTTCCAGAAAGCATTTTTTCTTGGCTCATTATGATAACAGGCAATATAACAATTTTAGCGAATCCGTTATATAAGCGTAATGGAATTTTGAAAATTGCTCAATGTCACAGATTTGAGTCTGTCATTTGATTAGGGCGACGTGAACAAAATCCGTGTGGAAAGCAAAAAAAATGTAGCTGAAATCAACTAATAAGCGACTTTAGTTAACTGATCAGATGATTTGTATGAAAAATACGAATAAATTTTAGCCAGACGCTTTACGGTTTTACGTAACATATTTCGACTTTTTCAGAAAAACTGTTCTTTATCGAAATTCGATTTTGAAATTTTGAGGTTTTAGAATTGGATTTTGTTCAGTTTTTCATGAAGAATTTGGTGGTGGTTTCAGTTCGAAGGTTCCATGAAGCGTTTTAAAAAAATTGACTGGTCAATGTTCGTTATTAAGATAAAATCTTAATAACATATTATTAACATATTTTCGTTAATAACTAGTCATTTTTTCAAAACGGCTTATCATAAATGAAAACTGAAACCACCACAAAATTCGTCATGAAAAACTGAACAAAATCCATTTCTAAAACCTCAAAACTTCAATATCAAATTTCGATAAAAACAGTTTTTCTGAAAAAGTCGCAATATGTTACGTAAAACTGTAAGACGCTTATCCAGAATAAACAATCTGATCTTTGGGATGTATTCGAATTCAGTCAACTTGTGATTGCAGTTAACTATGATCATGGTTTTTTTACTGAATAATCATTTTAGCCAGTCTCAAAACTATGTCCCAAAATAATCGATTGGTTGCTCAGTCCAAATATTTTCACATGGAAAGTTTGGCTCTCAATAATTGTCAAATTAAAATTTCGTTTACTGGCCTCAAGATTCCCGACGCGTTCAATTGACGATGCGATGACAACGAAATTATTCACATTTTCACAAGTTCCTATAAAGTAACTATGTTGATGCACTTTACTTCCTATTGATATTTATCGACGGGTTCTCGATAAAAGGAAACACGATTCTGCTATGTTATTAGAAAATACGAGAAAGATTAGATAAAAAGCCAATGATAATCGCATTAAACTCTTTTATATATACTTGTTTCGTTGCCTTTCAAGAGCCGATAAAATCGTCCAATTTTCTGCGTAGTAATGCGCAATTTGTGATGATTTGTGTACTGTACAGTAAATAAAGTTCATTTGCCCCGATACAATAAATGAAAATCAATGCAAATTGGCATTAGCATTGCTCCAAACTATTCCAAAATTGTGATACAAATCTCATTGGATGGGTAAAAATAAATCAGTTTTGACCGAACCGAAGTCAAATTATCTTGAGCCGCTTGGAAAAATCATGGAAACTTATTCAGTTTGCATTAAATATTGATGTGATGTGCGTAGTTTCAAACTAAAGTTACATTTGTCAACTGCATTTATGCAGCAGTCAATAAATAAACTATGCATTTCGATTAAGTGAGGCGCCTTCGATATGGCTGCACTGCGGCAAATAATCGTGCGTGCGTCGTACACACACTTTGACCGCGAATATAAAAATGTAATGAGAATCAATTTTATTCACAATTTTTATTAATGGGCAATAAATTTCGAAGCATTGTTATTGCCAATCGATGGAAAATACAAATTGTGGATGAAACAATTGGGATTGTCATACACAAACGATCATGTGTGTAAAATGGAAAATTTCGCTAAAAAAAAAGTAGAGTGATATTTCGAGTGATGACGCTTATCTGGGTGAGCGTGTTCAAAAGATAACGATTCTCTTGATTAAAGCGAATGGAATACTATGGAAACAAGCGGCCCGTACATAGTAGAATAATCATATATTATAACGTTATAATGATCGATAATCGATGCTAGACAAAAAAATGCAAGTCAGTCAATTGAAAAAAGTGCCATTTCAGTCCCAGGATAAATTGTGCCATTTTTGATCGAGCTCACCTAATAATTTTGGAAACTGGTCATGACAATGCGCACCACTCATTATGACTCGTCAATTTCGCGTAATTCTCACATCGATTCAATCTTATCACAGAATTATCGATAAATGTACATTGATACAGTGACACAAACAAGGGTTTGATCGGACCGAAAAAAAGAGAACAGTACATTCTTCTTCCAAGGTTGATGTGAGCACGCAAATTAAGTGGCTGACTCTAGAAAATTCGTTGTCAGGCTTAAACCGCAACGCAATCATATTTCGCACACGACCGATCACATGTCTTATCAAATGTCACACCAAGATACCGAATTGTTACTCCATTCCAGAAGTGTTTGACGAAAGCAACACTCACTAACATTAATTTGTCGGGGATGTCAAATGTATGCGTGACGACGCATTACTTCATACAACCAAATTATTTGGTTCGAGTTTTGGGCCTTATGTTATGGTTATGATGTACAAACGAATGTGTCAAATGTGTATTTAATATTTATAAGTAACCTTTGGGTTCGTTTGCGAACAATAAAAATGGAATTGCACAACGCGGTCATTTGCATGAAAATGACTATAACAATGAGAACATGCGGATACAAATCGGCGGCAATGGCTCAAACCATTCGCAATTAATTGTGCTATTAACGTTTAGACACGTCATTTCACAAACGTCTGCGACAAAGCCGATGTGAAAAACTAATGAGCAGTAGTAACAACAACGAAAGAAGTACATCACTATCCCAATGAGGAAAACGTTACAGTTGTACACATTTTGTGCACGGCCAATGTAATTTCTCCATAAGCTGTGCACAAAATGTGTACAACTGTAACGTTTTCCTCATTGGGTAATTTTGCCGCCAAATATGACACCTTGTATTCAATGGTTGTGATAGGAGGAAGTTGATTTAATATCACTTATTTTTCATCCGTGATTTATCTCGCAAAAGGTTACACCGAAATAAAACCGGTGTGGTTCAAAACTATGTAGTGTATCATTGAAATATCTTCAATGCTTCTCCGTCTGTTGTCTTCGCAGTAAAGATGAGGAATTCATCATAGAGAAAAAAAAATCAGCATTGTCATTATAACACACAAACACTCACGTTAGCCTTGACGTTGCTTCTGCAACATTGATTCAATCGGCGGTGACGATGACAGCAATAAAACCTGATATTCCAGCTCACTCACATCGATTTTTCTTCAAATCATCGTTATTGAACACAAAAAAAAATATTATGAAACCACAACAGAGTCTGCTCAATTGTTAAGTTTACTAATGAATTCTGAAGCCGAGTCTTTAGCACACGAGAATGTGTGACAGCTTCAATGCAAAATGTATGGTAACGTAATTGAACCATGGAAGATACACAACACGAGATATTTTGAGCAAGAGAAGCAGCCAAACAATCGCGATCAGTGATATAAATAAAAAAAATAAAAACAAAACAAATCACCCAAACAACTCGGAAATTCAGGAATATCATTGACTAAAACGAATTTCAATTGCTCTCGCAGTGTGCCATGGGATTATTTGAATGGAATTTGGCATCTTTTTAAAATGACGATTAAAGTTCAAGCGAATTCAGCGCTTTCCATCCAATTTATAGATGTCATAATGCTTAAATCGAACATCGAAACGCTTTGGCAATTGGAAAATCATATAAAAAAGCGCAGTGATCGAAAGCGGAAAGAAAACAAAGCATTTTTCATTGGAATCCGTTCATTCACTTCACCTATTCACCGTTGGGGCATAGCTTTACGCACAGCGCGAAATGCACGCCATCAATAACAAAATTTGCTACCACGTTGTGGAATCGAATAGAAATGGAAATCCTTTGGTAAAATTGAATCGTGCGATTAGTGACGATCAACATAAAAACAACACACGATTACGGTGATTTGGTCAAATGTGACTCGTGCAACGTTGATGCACACTTTAATTTCTTTACGTTGTACAGGCACGAGCACATAGTTAGAAAGTCTCACTCACAGTGCATTTGAATATACATCGATCGCAATGAGATGATAACCGTAACACGAATTATAATTTTCTGTTGTGTGGATTTTTTTTTTCTGCCCGTTCTTCTTCTCCTCCTTCTTCTTCTTCTCCCAACCGGAACAACGTAATTCCACATGTTTGCTCTCGAAGAACAAGTGTGAATCAATTACAAAATGAAATTTGTCGCGTCATTTCCAATACAACAACATCAAGCCAAAGAGTTGAAATAAGAAATAAATAGAAACAAATTTGTGATGCAAAACTCACCTCATTTAAAAACTTTGTCACATCATAAATGTTATTATGAATGACGATCCATGATGATTGATTTGAATTGTGTTTTGCAATTTCGGCCAATGAGTAGGTTTTTACACTTGTTTCGGATTCAGTCATGTTGTATTTTCTATTTTGTTCTGGAAAGATAGACAATAAAATGAACGAAGTATTAGCTACAGTGATGAGAAATTCCAAAGTTCGAAACGAACGTAATAACTTGTGTGTTTTACAGTAACATTTATTGATAACTCAAATGCGGGAAAAAAAAGAACAACAACACTGCATTTATCTCTCTATTCAACTTCGCAGATTTGAATCGGTGTGTGCGTGATAAAAAAAAAGAAGAATCGTTTCGAAATATTCTTGTGTTTAGCCTTTAAACACACACTTTAATGTAATTACTGCGATTGCTAATTTCGTTGTTGTTGTTGTTGCTGTTGTCGTTTTTGATGGAAAATGATTTGATTAAATCGTATGTCTAATCCACAAAAACTGTCGTTTCAATGTTAACATTTTGGACTTGATTGTTTTTTTTTTCTTGAATTTTTCGTCGCAAAACGAAATTAACTATGAGATAACGACGACGACTACCACAACAACAACAAATCAATTACCCGTTCCCTGAACTAATTTAATTAAATTGCTCATAAAAATTAATTAAATTTCGACGACAATGCCATTGACTTAAATATATTGACCAAAATCACACAACACAGCACAATGGTTATATTTGTTGAATCGGGGGGAAAAAAAGGCCAACAAAAATTTACCAATAGCGAAAAATGATAAAATAAATGTTCAATCTCTTTGGATTGGTGGAGTTCTGCGTTTTTCAGCGGTTCAGTCGCGAATGTGCACGGATTTGAATGCCAGAGTGTCGACACGGGCAAACGATAAACGTATATAAAAAATATGTCTAAAGTTATTCACGACTAATTTGTATGATATAATAGTGATTCCGGCGAATGGAACGAATACACATGAGAGAGAGAGAGAGAGGAAGAGAGACAAATGGCTGGGAAGAAAAACAGTAACAGCTAACAACTACGAAAAAAAGAGACTACATCGACACAAATATATATGTATATATTTTATATGAGGTGAAGAAAAAGACGGAAAACAAAAATAATCATCGCACCGAACGATTGTGGCTTGTTCACTTACTTCCAGCTACTTGACAGTGTGTGCACTGCGTGTACGGTCAATAACAAGATTCCAATTTTTTTTTCCGCCAAAGTGACTTTTCAGTTATGCGTGTGCGATGAACAGAAATAAAGAAACTATACAATGGTATTTGTGTGTTGCTCGTTTTTTTTCTTCTTTCCTTCACTATACACACAGTGCCCGTTTTATGCATGAATTATCGACAACCACAACATATTACTACTCGCGATATTGACAATTAACATGGGTGCGATGTCTTCTACATTGCTTTCTCTCATTCGAACACCCATGGCACGATTAACTCCCGTCACTTGAACATTGTCATTTTCAGAAGTTTCACGCACACATGCACACACACACACACACACACACACACATACTCAGCCATCCAATCAAGCGAAAGTCAATTGTTGAACTTGTTGCCCATGTGTGCGAAAATACCAACAAACTAGAAAAAAATTCTCTTTGATTTTCTATTTCTCTTGACAGTTGCGTTCAGTTTACATTCATTGCGACCAAAATTGAATTCAAATTTTGAATAAGAAACTCATCATCATTTTGATATTTTTTTTCTCAATTCTTCTTGCAATTTGACTATTTACACCGGAATATGTCCACAATAAAACCTGTTGCAAATTCGTAGTTCAATTGTGGACCATGCGAATATCACAATAGATGTTGCGGTGTGAACGAGACATTATGTCAACAATAACATAGCCTAACGCAATATTATGCACATTAGTTGAAATTTGAAGACAATAACATCGGCTCTGGCATCGTTGCATTCTACATAAAGCTGCAACGAAAATTTTCGATAATTTCACATCATATCATTCACGACCATTGAAATTCAGCTAATTTTCACTTTCGAAGAATAGCTCAAATGGCAAAATCAAATCAAATCAGCGAATATGAATTCAATTTGGATTTGCGCGACACATTTCGATCGCTTTCGTATTATCACACCGATGAAGAAGGTGGCGACAAGCAATTGAAATTCGATCCACCAGTTTATCAGGCCCGTTATTCAGCCATCAATTCCATTTTGACAATGAAAGAATGGATTCCACACATTAAAAAGGTACTTGAGCAAAATTCAAAAATTGCATCATTCGAAGCTACAACCGCTTTTTTCCCTCTCGCTTTTGGTAAATACTGATTGAAATTCAACTAATTTGATCAGGTAACGGAATTCGGTTGTGCCGACATGAGTCTGGTACTCTTGATACGCCGAAACGATCATCTTCAACACATTTTACAGGTTAGTGTACGGATTCAAATGGATTTCATAAGCATTTGCACATGATTATTTGATGGATTTTTCCTTTTACTTGAAATAAATCTCTGACGAAACGGAATAAAAACTTTAGTCCGAATATTTGGCCCGAAATTCCAGAAAATTAGTTTACATTTTGCCAGATTTTTTTTTGGTTTTGTTTACCGATATATTCCATAAATGACAGTTTGGATACGTTCAATTATGGTTCAAATTTCGGTTCGTTTGCTGTTGTCAAGCATTTGACATGTTCGCATGCTCATGACAGTTCTCACCACTACAAAAACCAACTTAGGTTTAACGAATGTGATTGAGGTTAGGTTGAAAACGTATTCAATTGTTTATAGTATCGTGTATGGAGTGCAGCGTTTCACCCATCGTATTTTCACTGTCAACTATTTTCAATTGAAATAAGTAGAAGCATTTAGTAAAACGCGTTGTTTCAGTTGTAAAATTTGGTTCATTTCGAAAAAAATGTTGTGACTGTGATTTGGCGAACAGTTCGGTGTGATTACGAGAAAAATTCCACCAAAAACCGTGTGAGCATAACCTCATCGTGTTTGACATCGGCGACGAGTGGCCAGTGTGAGCGGTGTTTTGGTTGTCGATCGAACAATCATCGTCGGAAATTTAAATGCAAATCGGTCGAACCGAAAATCCGAAGCCACAATGGATCAAGATCCGTCAATGTTTTTTCCAATGAATAATTTCGGCGCATCGAATTCATTGAGCCCATTCAATATAGAACTCTTGATGACATCAATCGTCAACAATGACAGCTTGGTGCGTAGTTACCATGAAAAATGCGCCGAAAATGGTCAAATCCAACAGAATCTCGACTCAATAACTGAAACGGCACAGCAAATTCAGCAAATGTACACGAGTGAAAAGGAACGAAAAGAGCAGCTTCAAATCGAAAGTGCTGATTTGTTGGAAAAATTGAATCGAGTACAGGCACGATTGGAAGAAGTCGAAAATGAACATGTAAACACAGACACATTGAATAAACAAACAATAGCTGAACTCGAGGAAAAGGTTGAGCAAATCAATGCAAAATATTTGGACATTTGCGAATTATTTGTTGAGCAAGCGAATATTCTCAACGCGAATAATTTATCAACGTTGCCACTGGCACGAAAATGTACAGCAATCAAGGAAGTACTTCATACGAATGGTATCCAATTTGAATGGAAAAGCCCGTCGAAGCAGCGTCGCAAATCAACAGTTGATAAAGTTAAAATGAAAACAACACGAACAATTGCAATGCAAACCGAATCACGCATCGAACCATCGGTTAATATTACACCAAAACCACTCACATGCGACAAAGGTACACAGTATCAACAGTCAAAAGCAACACGATCCACGTGCACATCTGCTTTTATACACACAACAGACGCATCAACCAACACCAATAGTGACAATGATAGCCTTAATATTGAATTGGCTCTGGAGAAAATGGCTTCATATCCAACGCTTTTATCACCAATTCACGAGTCAACAACACCAAAAGTCACCACTAACACCTGCACACAAACCACATCCAAGAATTATCGAACACAAGGTACGCTAACACTCATCAACAACGTACGCAAACGAGTCAACTATGTGAGAGCTCGTACGAAATCCGAGTTATTGTATGAAGTGAAAAAAGAAGAATGTGCCTCACCATGTGCCTCGCCAGCAATTTTCTGCCCATCGTCCGCACAAGACGATCCAGTCCAAGTGACTACACAATTTCACCATTATTGGCAAATGATCGGTGATCTGCTGTGTCGAATGCTCTCCGCTCAAAATATGATGGTTGATGAAAAACACTTGAATAATATTCGAATCATTCAAAAGGCCCACGAAATGCAAAATCTTATCGCCGAAGGCATGCACAAGAAACCCGATGACAACATTGGCTTGGCCGGTGTTCATTGTACCGAAAGCATTGATTGTGAAGATGAACACAGTCGCGACTCGGTGGAAAGTTATAACAGCGCAAAAATTGTAATCGCCAAAATGCGGAATCTGAGCAATTGTTCACCGTCATCGCTCGAGGAGAACATCCCCAGCTGCCCGCCAACGGACAACAATGAAGATCGGCCAGATGTATTTATGCCAATATCACCATTAGCAGAGCGTTCACAAATCGAAAGGGAGTCACAGGAAAATCCGGTTGGAGAAGAGCCACCGTTACCAAAGCAGCCAGCCATCACAAGTAGTATTCAGAGGAGAGATAAAACTGAAACCAACCCACAACTGAATCGACCACTAGCGGTTAACAAAGAAATAGAAATTGGAAGCTGCAGCAGTTCAAAGAGTCCAATGCTCAGCGTCGAGCGACAAGCAGTAAATGAAGTTCACTTCAAGATACCGAAGCGGAAAGGTTCAACTTCCGATTCTGATCCAATAGTCAAGAAAAGAAAATCCACCAAAGTAAGTGTGCTGAATCATGAATCTTCCACCAAAAAACTAATCGAAACATTCGATTTTCAGGTGAAACCACAAAAACAGCAAATGATGACATCCCTTTTCGGTGATCTGAGCGACGACGATGACAACGACTATGATATTGATGAACAAATTAGAAAAATCTTCGAATCAATTCACACACCAAAAATGCTGTCACCAATTAAGGATTGGTGTGAAGATGTGGCATCACCCTCACCTTCACCTTCACCCTCACCTCCGGTGACAATGGATGCACAAGAATGTGTGATACCACCAGCGGAAAGTGCAGAGCACTTGAATGCCAAATACGAAACAATTTCGAACGAAACAGATGCAAACGCGACACATCAAAAGAATGAAACGCTTGACCATACCGAAGTGCTTCAAACAAATAAACCGCCTTTGCACACGGCGCCCAATGAAACCGAACCGCTATCTTTGGCATTGCCAGATAAACTAGTCCAAACTACGGTCGAAGAACGAAGACATGAACATACACAACCGGTCGAATGTGTGCTAGAGCACTCATTGGAATCAAGTCAATCGTCCGAAATCAGTCCAAATGTTTTGATTGAGTGCAATGCCGATGAAACGGTCGAATTTGATGATTTTTCGCCTGCTTCACCAAAGCCAGAAGATCAAACATCGTCAACAGATGCACCCAAAATTCCAATCAACACAATTTGCCACGACAACGAAATGGACGTGAGCGAAACGTCGCATATTTCCACCGATTCAGCATTAGATCAAATTATTTACAATTATGTGTCAAATGTACGGAATGAGGTGTTGATGTGTTCAGCCAGGTTCTCTCATGCCGAATGCTATCTATTGGCTAGTTTAAGGAATGCAATAGAAAAATACTGTATTGCAAACGAATGGACAGCGACGGCGGCTACACAATGTGTTGATAGGCTATTGAGCTTGAGCCGGCAACCGGAACATTTGGCCACTGCGATACTAGAAGTAATCGAAGATACAAAAGAGAGTTTTTCTGTTGAATTCACACCGCCAGCACCAGTATTACAGCCGTCGCATCAAAAGTGCGTGCTTTTGGTGTCACGCCTCACCAAACCAATGCCAAAATTCAACCAATACCTTCAATTCGAACTGGAACGACGGCTGTTCACCTTTGCCAAAGAAGCCAAACCAATTGTCGGCATGACAAACTTGGCCCATTTCTACATTTCACTCATCGACATCGAACGACCGAGCGATCGGGCCAAAGTGCGGCTCTTTATCTACAAATGTCTTTACTATTTCAAAACGTCATCGGTCCCATTGATATTCACTGTGATAATGGCACATCCGTATGTTTTGCCACATGCACAAGCAATCGAATCCAGCAGCGATCCATTGATCCGAGCCATAGCTAGCGCATTGTCGAACATCGTGTATATGGAAACCAGCGCCAAAGGGAAAAATCTCAAGAAAAATGAAATGTTCCATACTTTGAAGCGTCGATATGGATTTTTTGCCGACAAAATGTTTTCGATTGATGTTGTCATCGATTTTTGCATCGAATGCATCCGGCTGAATCGCCTACAACATGTCGACTATGCACTTATTTTGCTAGCAAAACGCAAAGATTTTGAATATGCGGCCGAAAAAATTATCGAAAAACATCTCAGTCCAATGTTACAGCAATACTTTTCAATGAACTTGAACGCTACCACCGAACACGACGGAAAAATTTGTACGATTCTCTTCACGATTGGATCAATTGTAAAAACGTTTCCAATCGAAGAAAATGTGTGCGGTTATATCGACATGTTTGTCACCTGTTTGAATGCCACACAACGGCAATCCATTCAAGAAGCAGCTATTTTGGCCATTTGCCAACTGAGCCGATTCGGCACCACGCAAATTTATCAACATTTGGCCAACTGGAAACCCAACTACAAAATCAGTGCCCACATAAAAGCCATACTCAGAACCATTGTATACAGAAAATCAAAGCAATATTGGTTTGGTGACAACAAAAACTATGAGTAAACAGAACAATGAATTCGAATTCAAACACTGTGATGAACTATTTTAACACGCTAAGAAAATTCAAAACATTTCATTTCACAATGAAATTCAAATAAATGTTTACTAAATTATAATTAATTTAGAGAGAGGAATAAAGAAAATTATTCTTTTTAATTAAGAAATTGAATTTGTGTTTCATTTTAAATTCAGAGAGACTAAGCTATCCTCGGGGATGACATTAAATAGAAAACGAGCGATATTAAGGCAAAATGAATTAACTGAATGGAATTTTTTGGGGAAAATATATTCTTTCTTAGAAAGAAATTGAGTAGAAATTTTTTGAAAATACATTTCAATTGTTGCTACATTTAGATCGACATCGACGATGAACTGCTGAAAAGGTTTGAGCAAAGAGCCGCTCCATTGACTTGGGAATATTTATCGCGCCGTAAATTACCACTCATAACCGACGTTTATCATGGTAGTGTCGACTCGCCGCACGAATGTCTTTTGGATTCGGACGTCGTTATTTGCGTTGAACTGTACGTTTGCATTGATTTGCATATTTTAAAATCGAATCATTCATTTTTTTTAAATTTATAATTTGAAATTTTCTCTATAAATTCCTTTTCAAATACCTCGATGAGCTTCAAAATATTTTTATATTTAAAAAAAATATTTTTTTTCATTGCAATTAAGAATATTTCGAAACAATTTCGAAAAAGTAGATTTTTTCAGATTTTAATATTTTTCTCCTTCTGGTCTATTCATTTCAGCATTGAACATTTGTTCCCAGAAACGGAGCAAAATTTGCCACAAAACATTTTTGGTTTTATTAAACCGAAAATAGCCGTTTTTACAACGCCAAACGCGGACTTCAATATTCTGTTTGGCAGTTCAAAATTTGAAAATGGGTTTCGGCATGAGGACCACAAGTTTGAATGGACACAACAGCAATTCAAAGACTGGTAATTCATTGTTAAATACGAGAATTATTTTTTAAATCATTTTTCCGCATTTTTCATTTCATTTTTTTTTTGTTCAGGGCACAAAACATTTGCATTCGTTACCCAAATTACCGTTTTTCCGTTTCTGGCGTTGGTGAATTGCCAACGGATGCTGATGAACAGTTGGGAAAATGTTCACAAATGGCAACTTTCGTTCGCAAAGACATGCTGCCGCTATTGAATGGTCTTGATGCAACTGATGATGTGACGCCACCAGTCGATGAATCGGATACGGAAGAAGTTGTGTTCCCAATCGAAAAATTCAAATATAAATTGCTGTTCAGTAAAGAATTTCCATACGATCAAGATTCGCGTAGTTTGGACGAAAAGATACTCGACGATGTAAGAAACTTCACTTGGTCAATTTATTTCATTATTTTCTTTCATAGCTGCAAAATAATAATTCTCAACAGGTAAAGTACTTCATCAACCGCCATTTGTACGATGACGATCTATATTTCGACCAGGAAAAGAATATTTGCGAATTTCCCGTCGAAGACATATTCCGACATGTACATGATGCATCCGATCTCAACGAAATGCGATCAATAATTCGCAAAGAATTTGTGATAAATGACAAAGATTGTGTTGAACATAAATTGCCCGAAGAAAGTGGATCCGAGTTCAGCGAGTACGACGATGAAGACGGGGAAGACGTGAAACATGTAGAAGACGCGGAAGACGAAGACAAAGACGAAGTGAGCACAGAAAATGGTAGCAGTAAGCCTGTCACAACCGCCGATCCTGACGATGAAGATTGGGACTGATTACGGACCCTGTACAAAAAAAAATTACGCACAGCTAACTAGTTATACGTAGTGTGTACTATTCATTGAAATAATTCAATTCAAAATTATTTCAAATCTCGTCTAATTTATATTTTAAAACAAAAAGTTGAGAATTTTTTTTTTTTGCATTATTACTTAAAATTAAATTTAAATAATTTCCTGGAATACATACAAAATGTACCATTTTCAAAATATACTAAAACGAGTGTGATAATCCACAATACCAAAATGTACCTAAGATACATTTATGAATCATTTTTCATCGTCATCAAAATTAAATGAAGAGAGGGAATATTTTAGAATATTCCGTTTGAAAGTCCATTGTATTCGTTGAAAAAAGGTGGATTTGATTTAAATTGGAACAGAACGGCTCAATTCAACATAAATTCCCGAATATTTGTAAAAGTGCATAAAATTCAGAGTAGAATTTCAATTACATCAAAATGCACACAAGTCCATTAACTTTCAATCAGTTTTAAGGTGATTTAATAAAAAAGAGCGCGAAACTGTCAAAATATAAAAAATTGGTGGCCAGTAGACTGTACGTAGATTCAAATTGTCAATAGAGACCCAGAGATGCAGTCTAACGAAATAGATTAAACACGAAGAAAGAACGAGTGAAATGCATGAAACGAACCGATTCACAGAAACATTTGAAGTTGAGGCTCAAACACGACGTTCCTACTCATACAAGAGTCTGCGCACACAACCAAACTGATAATAGCCAAACATCGGTGACCATTTACGGACGAAACACAAACAAACGAATATCGGCTACATATTAGGGTGGCTCCATTTTGCTCAATTCAGTTGTTGGTTTTCGAAGCGACAAACGTGATGTGGGTCATTTTATAATTTAAAAAAATAATCTTTCTCTGAAAATTCCGAAAAATAACACAAACCATATCGTCAGATTGTAAATTCATTCTGCAGTTCGTTCTCATCAATTGCGCTTTTGCACAAAATACACATGCATCGAATCGACTGTGTTACTCTATCCATTACTCTAATACAACACATGCGAAGCAAAAAACAAGCAAATATTTTGGCTTATATGTATTTTTTCCATCTTCTTCATCGCGCGCTACACTTTACAACACGAACGAAATGTATAACGTAAATAGTCAGTCGCTTAGTCAAGAATTTGTTTTCTGTTGCGAAGCAAAATCACATACACAGAATCTTCAGTGACTTCGATTTTCTAAATACTAATAAGAAGTAAATACGTTGAAAGTGTTCTGGATAGAATAATCGAAATATGCAATAGAAAGTGGTGTAAATTGGCTGAGACTAGTGTTGCAATAATAACCGAAATTAACCAAAATATTTAGCAACCGCAGAGAGCAACAACAACAACAACAACAACAACAACAACAACAACAACAACAACAAAACTAGATTGAGAGCAAAAGTGTTTGCAAGTGGAATAACGCGAGTGTATGAAATAAATAGACGGTGTACAAACGCATATATCAAAACAATCAAACCAAAGGAAAACATCGGACACTTTTCCACAATCGTTTGGTGTCTTGTTATGCGATTTATTGAGTCCTTCCTAAAAACTATTGTCCAAAGTCGTGTGAGTGTAATGTAGATGATACAATTTGACCAAAACAATAAAGAAGAGCAACGAAATTTCGAAAGAAAAAGGTTTGTGTAAAGTTGAAACGTACAATTATTCTAATGTGAATTGACAACGAGTTGAGTGTGCAGTTGTGTGTATCTGTTGTGTGTGTGTGTGTGTATGTTGGCTGTCGTGTATGTGTGTGTATGTATATTTTGGTTTTATTTTCATGGGTTGATATGGACATAAATTTCGATGAACATCAAACGATGATGTGGTTTCCTTCTTCTGTTGACCATAAATTAATTTAGACAAGATGAAATAGATCAATGAAGAATATCTCATTTGGCATATAATCCCTAATAATGCATACCAAACCAAAATTTCATGCAGTGGCTTGTATACTGATAATCTCGTCACACAATTCAAGACATTCAAACACAATAAAAACGTATATGAAAACAAAGTAAGGGAATTTTGTAAACAAACATTTCGATTCGAGGATTCATCCTCGACGCAATGGGCAGCCAATTTACAATTTTGCCAGCATCTGATCGACTATTGGTGAAAAAAACGCCAAATATCGAATACATACAGGTGAATAAATGAAGTGACCTACTAAATGGAAAATTTTGTACAAGTTTTTTTTATTACTTGCTGCTGCTGCTACTGCTCCTCCTCTCGAGTCAATTGTAAACTAAAAGAGATACATACATACATTTATACCGTGCTCGCTCGTTCTCGGTCTCCCTCATGGTGCATGCATGGATGTGGTGTATGTAAGCGTGTGTCGTGTGTTGATACTGAATCACTTTTACCAATATAAAAGCGACTATTAGAATGACGGCCTATATGTGTATGTGCCGTTGTTGTTTACGCGATTCGACCGTGCTCTGTAGTTTGAATCGGTGTATGTTGTGTGCGTCGGTGTGGGTGCGCGGTTGTCCGAAAATATCTATGTGTTTTTATCGGTTGTGCCGTGCCGTGTCGTAGAGGATTCCGTTGCCTTCCTAAATTATTTTTTTTCTTTGCCTACACACAATTGACTTGCATTTTGGTGCTTCTTCGGTGTGTGCAGCAGGCCCCAATACAATGGTGAAATGTGGTCGTTTGTGCATGTGTATGTGTGTGATGTGTGCGCGACAAAATCATACGCGCCTGATACGACACAGAAATGTAAACGTTTCAAAATAAAGACCAACTAAAAAATGATATGGGTCATAAATGAAGAATAATGCACAGTTCCGTGTGATCAATGGCCAGTTCATTTTTTTGTTCAAGAGTTGCACACATATTCGCCTCAAATGTCGTTGACTCACAAGATAAAGATTAATTCAATGGTTGCGGGCTAAAAACCTTCAGCTGCCAACATCCAACATTTGAAAGGTCTAATCAGTTGTCAGACTCTCGATAAAAATTCCAAAAAATCTCTTCGATCTTCCGATTGGACTGAACCCATTTCAACTCTATGTAAAATTGTGATTCGATTCGATGGAAGCAAAAAATTTGATTGATTTCAGTTGTGTTGGGTGTTGATGTCAAAAAGATAAATTCCATGGATTTGTTCCAATCGAAACTCCATTTCAGTTTCCAATACGAAATGATATCGTCTGCTTGGTGAGGTGCAATGTTGTTGTTTATCGGTTGTCGAAACGGCGGTAAATCGCATACGTGAGAAGAACATACACAAAGAAGAAAAAACAATATCAATACAAAAAACGCCGTGTTGATCTCAAATATACACGTACATCATCGCAAATAACATCGATGTGAGTCTCGTTTTGATTCGTCCGGATTCGTTTGCCGATTAAATCTTGCCGAAAATGCAACACAACCATCTCATTTGCACCGCGTTGGTTCATTTCGTTCGTTCAATGTTTTATCAATTTTACAATACATCAGACGAGATATTCGGTGAATATTTTGATATTTGGTTGGTTAGTCTCGTACATGTGTTCGCGCATCGTGGTATGTGTAAGTGTCTGTGTGTGTGTGTGAGTGTGTGTGTGGTGTATATGTGTCATGACTATGAGTGCGCGTATAAGAATGTGTGTATGTTTACAAAATTTATGGCCAAGTGCAGAACTACTTATGAGAGATGCAGCCAATCCCGAAAATACGAAGTCGATAACATTGAAAGTGTTGTTCTTGACTCACGTAACGTAATGAAATTGTGATAAGAATTTCTTCGGTGATTTGATTTTTTCTACCAAACGAAAATTTCCATGCCAAGATCGCCGAGCAGCAACAAAGCGAAATCACCGAATTGTTATCGAAAGTTTTCATTATTGGCGGCTCTAACCAAAAGTAGTTTAGCTCTGTCTCTCGTGTGTTTCGATTGGTATCGACGGCATGCACACCAACACCAATACACACACACAAATACACTCAAAACACACTCACACACGATTTGTGTGGTTCGCGTGTGCGTGCGTGTATATGCCTATCTATATTGCTCTGCCTTGTCTATTTCAGTTTGAATTCACAGTGTTGTTGCTCTTGTGTTGTGTTATGTACATTTTATTTTTTGATCTCTTCGACTATATTTTAATCTGTTCCGTCAATTTTCACTTCATTTTAGCGCACTTTGTGAAGAAAAGAATGTGCAATCGTTTGTATTTGCTGCTGACCCATCGGATTCAAACCAAATTGGCTGCAATGACAACAACAATAATAATAAAATAATAACAAACATCAATCGAAGCAGAAGTCATCAATTGAGAAAAAGAAGAACACAAGAGTGCTAAATAGATAAAATTCAGTTGCATCGTTTTGAAATCACAAACAAACAAACAAATAAACAGGCATTGAGTGTCATGATAATCGATTCGACAGTGTATATGCGTATGATTTGCGTGCTCCTTTCCAAATTCGATTGAAGTTGAACAGAGAGAGAGAGAGAGAGAGAGAGAGAGAAAGAGAGAGAGAGAGAGAGAGAGAGAGAGAGAGAGAAAGAGAGAGAGAGAGAGGGAGAGAGAGAAGTAAAGAGTGACACTCTCAACAAGCGGGAGTGACGAATAATAAAGTGTCGCAACGTGTGAAATGAATACAGAATAGTGAAAGAGAGTACTAAATGAGATATACTCGAAAAGAAAACCAATTTTAAAAGGTTTTCAATCCAAAAAAAAAAATCCGATTCCAATGATTGCGCGCGAAAGTGGATTCAATCGCCAATTGATATCAGTGTGTTTGTGTAGCGCAGATATTTTTCATCATTTGACACCAAAGCAACAATGGTGTTTTGAGTTGTAAAAACAATAAATAAACCTTGAATACTGACATTTTTCTGAGAGAGTGGTCGAGAAAAGACAAAAGACAAATAACAAGGAGAAAATCGAAAAAAAAAATCCAGTGTGATTTTAAGTGAACGTGAACTTGGTACAAGAACCAAAGCTCAATCTACCAATCAAATTTCAATCGCCCGCAAAATGGCTACATTCAGCTTGTGTACGTGTACATTCCAAAAAACTGTTAAATGTATGCCGGCCGAGAATCACAAGTGATTTGAGAAAAGCATAGCTGAAAAGTTTACTTTCAATCCATCGTTGTTGCACGAGGCTCGTGCGCAGACAAAAGAATATCTGTGACGTACGTTAAATGTTAGAAGAAAGATTTGCGAAAAAGAGCGGGTGAACGAAAGAGAAAAAACATGAGTCTTCATACAGAAAGAACGGAACAACTGTTGCCGACCAGTTTGATGAATCTTGGCGGACAAAGCCGATCATCGACAACACCAACCACAGCCACATCCGCATTACCGTCTTTGCACGTTGCATCCGAGGATAAGGACAGTATCTACACATTTTCAAATGATGAAACCGATTTTATGGATCACAGTAAATTTGGCAGTCGCTTGAGTTCAAGCGTTATGAACGCTACCTTCCCATCGACTACCGATAAAAATTTGAATGATACACGGAATTTGACGCTAAAAGAAAGCATCCGAACGTATAGCAAGAAAAAAGTATCATCGTCCGTTTCGCCACGAAACAATCGCAATAAAAGAACTCCCACACTGGCAACTAATTATTCAACGACGCCATCCTGCTCACCGTTACAATCGTTGAGCTCCTCCGTTCCTTTGTCGCCGATGTTCTCCGACGAATCCAATAATTCACAAACACAGAAATCCAATGGAAGTGCACAAACAGGTAAATTTTGAGCAATTCATTTTCCCTTTTCAATTGTTTTGATTCGAAAGTGTCGTTTTTGAAACTGTTGTATTGTAATTTTTGTACACACATACACACACCCAATTAGATCAATCGTCCGTGTCACCGACTACGTCAGTTGTGAAAAAGTCTCCCTCAGGCGGAAAACCAAAATCATTTGCGATGGCTGTTGAATCGAGTAAAAAGTCGTCGTCGACTGCAGCAGCTAAAACGGGGTCAAGGGGTCGACCGAAACGTAAAGCACTTGTGGCTATGTACCAGAGTCAACTGAGCGAAAACACGATGGGCATTAAGATTCGGTTGAAGAAATCACTTGAAACACCGATTTCAATGGCAACTTTGAGTAGTAGTGGTGGCGGTGGCAGTGGCGCTGGCGCTGGCAGTGGTTCGACCAAGAAGAAATCAATCACATCGATGCCATCAATGGGATCTCCTGGTTTAGCCAGTGCTGTAGCTGGTACATCAAAATCGACACGCAAACGACAGCGCAAATCAAGGCACAAGGACACCAGCGACAGTGACGATTCTGACTATGAAAAACGGCGAAAGAACAACAACATAAATACGGAAAAGCATCGAAACCGAAAGCATACAACGAATACAGTCACTGACTATACCGAACCAGACGAACAGAGCCAATGGGGCAATGTCATACCCGAGCACATTCTATTGAAAATATTTGAAGAAGCAGTCAATCAGTATGGCACACTGCCAATTATGGTCAACGTTAGCAGGGTATGCAAACTGTGGAGATGCGTTTCGCAAACATCACAGCTATGGCACACACTCGATTTGTCCACATGGACAAAAGATCGCAGTGAGATCAATCTGAAAGGTATTATCGCCACTCATCTAAGATGGTGCAAGGATGTTAATTTAGGTGTGTATCGCAACAGAAAATGCATTTAGTCTGCCTTCAGATTCATGGATCACTTATCATGTCATTGAATTTGTTCTGTTTGTTTCTCTTCTCCGTTTGCAGCAAATTGGAAAGTGACAAACATTGAGTGTGTTTTGAATCACTTGTTGGAAGCGTGTCCCAATCTAGAAGCCATTTCACTTGCGGCTTGGAAGGAATTTACGGGTGATCATTTAGCGTATCTGGTTGAAGGTTTCAAGTCATTGCAACGAATTGACTTGAGTTCAGTGAATGTAAGCGTTTTTGTATTGGATTACAAATTCTTTTTTTTTTTTTCATTTCGAAAACTCTTTGTTGTTGATCGTCCTGTGCTCATAAATTTGACAAAATTGAAAGAAGAAAAAACGCTAATAGATCTTGTGCAATTTCAGCTGGAATTGAATCCAAATCGATCGGCTGTGGGACCGCAATCATTGTGCAATGCAATACAAACACTTGGTAGTCGTTTAACACATCTGAATTTGGCACATAATCGCCTAGCTGGAATACCTCAACTTATTACAGCGCTATCAACACATTGTCCGAACTTGAGCTTATTGGACCTATCGAATGTGAGCACAGTGGCTGCTTCACATGGGGTTCTTCACATCGAAAAGTTGCAGGAAGGATGTTCACATCTGAAAGTGTTGCGGATAACAAATTCGCAGATCAGCTTGAGTGCAGCTACACTTGTGGAACAGGTATGTGCAATATCTGCGCTAAATAGTCTCAAAATTGAATTAATTTCGAAATTTTTAAACAATACAGATGGAATCACTGGGTTTTCCTGAACTGGAAGAGTTATCGGTTGCGTCGCTAGCCGACGAATCGCGGCTCATGAATGACGAGTTTCTGCAACGGATTTTAAAGACAAGTACAAAATTGAAGCTGCTAGACGTCAGAGGTTGTGCTCGTTTGACACATGACACATTGATTCGATTACCAACGTGGGATTTAAAGCATCTATTCTTGTCCGGGTGCTCAGTCACACGCGATATTGGGTACATAATTACATTTCTTTCTGTAAATGCGCAATTTGTTTTGGTGTTTTTATCTCAATAAATTTGCAAATATTCTGAGTTCATAAATCTGATTCATTAAAAATTAATTAAATTTCTTTGTAGTTCGGGTTTGGAATTGATTGCATCGAAATGGGCACATAGCTTAACTGAATTGGATCTGGCGTGGGCAAATGTGCAAGAGCCACTGGACAATGCCATCAAAGCGATCGCCGAGAAGGGCGATGAATCTCCGCTAAAGTATGTAACGAAACTACAACAATGCATATATGAAATAAGTAGTGTAAAATAGAAAATTTCCATTAATTTTCTCTTGTTTTGCATGTATTTATTCCAGTCATTTGAATTTATGCGGTTCATCGGTTTCACTGGAAGCAGTTAAGGAGATATTAAGCAATTGTCGATATTTAAACTCAATTAATTTGTCATCGTGCCGTGGTTTGCCGCGAGGTGTGAAGCGATTGATGCAAGGCTTTGCCGAAATTTCAGAGTTGCGCGAAAATCTTGGTGTTAAATTAAAGTACGTTGCAAGCAGTGTGGACCGTTCATTTGATAGCACATCACAAAGTGTAACACCAAATTCGAGTGCAGACGTTGCCGACAAATAATATGCATGATTACAATTTACCTTGAAAATATGCATAGAACGCAGCAGACCATTCAATACACGTTATATTTCTCTTTGCTAAACAGTTGGTTTAGCCAAGCTATTCAATTCAATGGATTGCATCTTTGAATTGTCCAATTGAATAATTCTGTGCAGGGCGCGATAAACGCTTCACATTCAATTTTGATTTTGACTAGCCAGTAGTGAATGGAAGAGATAAACATATTCAATTACACTTGTTATTTAACAATTTAGGCACTACTAATAAGGCCAAGAATTTGTATAGTTAGTAAATTTAGTTATTTCTAAAGAAAAACACCCAAAATTCTAGGATGAGTCGCTTACTTCTCCGTGAAAAAAAACACACACAAACACTTCAAAATGCCAAGTGCATTTTGTAGTGATTAGGTTTCAATTGAACGAGACTTTGAATATGAATATTTGAATATGAGGCAAGAGCAAACACTGGAACATAGCCTCTCACCTCAACATAAACCACTTTCACATATTTGGTATGTAAAATAGAACGTACCAATCGAAACGAATGATAGTGTTGTTTTCTTTTTTTTCGATTTTGTTTTTTGAAAGAAAAAAAATCTAAATGTGTAATATTTTGGCGATTGTTGTAAAAAAATTACAAAAATTTAAATCACATTTTTCTATTAAACAAATTAGTAGCGTTAAACGTGAATTTTTGTAAGAGAGGGCCAACAGCACGCAAGTAAAATATTCACTCTCACCCGATGAATCCTTTCTTTGCCAGAGACAATTTCCCCCTTAATCATTTCGGCTTGCTTATAAAACAGTCGCCGCAAAACCGACAACATTCACAAAACAAACAACTATACCAAATGTCTCTCTTTTTTTAGTTGAAGTATAACGGAGTACTAGATAAGAATTGCAATAGGGAGTATTCTACAGCAGAAAAAAACAGGACATTTCGGGTACAAATGAAGAAACAAACCGATATATACGTAGAGGATATTTTCCATGCATGGAAAATTCCATTTGCATTATTTCAAAAAGTAGTAATTTATTCACCATTCAAGAAAAAAAATATGGTGGAAATTTGCACAAAACTCCGATTATTATTGTTCTGTTGATTTTGTTCGAAGTCATCCCAACACAATTTATTTATTTATTATAACATATACATATATGTGTAAAATTCTGTTTTTTTTTTATTTTAATTTTTATTTCTAAATTTTTAAATTAAATTGTATCCCATTTTTTTGTCATATATATATTATCGGTGAAATTGAAACAAATTATGCAAGTTAATCAATAATCAATTTGTACAAAGTAAAAAAAAAAACAAAAAATTGCTTTTGATTTTAAATCATTTTGTATGAGCTTTTAAAAGTAATTTTTAGAATTTGTCTCTTTTGCGCATAAATGCATAGCCGCATCGGATTTTGAGCTATCTGTGGGGGGACGATAGCAATCGCCTAATTCTTTTTTTCTTTTCTATACAAGTTGTGAATGATTTCACTTCGTTTTGAACAATGTATAATGCCCAAGGCATGCTTAGTTGTTAAAACATTTTTTCTTGTCCCTCTTTGTTCCAAGTTTATTCTTCAAATCAAATGATTTTATCATGTTGTTGGAACTTTAGAGTGCCCGTGTCATTTTGTTAAATTCTTTTTTCTTAATATCCCAATAGCTTGAAGCTGTACAGAATACACAATTCTAGTTTTTTTTTCGTTTCGTTTTTGTACAAATGGAATAGTATTTGGTTTTTCTTCTTCTTTCGAAACGATTTGATGCCAGTGAGCAAACACATAGGTCGCAAATCAATCCTTTTCACTGAGCTCATTCCGAAACACTCACACACTAACTAACTAAATTAACTAATAAAAATTTGAAGAGAAAATTTTATAAGATTATATATTATTATTATTGAGAAATACATATATATATATATATATTGTAATTAGTTGGATAAGTGCGCAATGGTATGACGAGATGATCGATCAAAACAAAGAAATTATGAAAAAGAAAACATTGTACTACTTGTATGTATGTATGTAAAACATTTTTGGGGTATTTAAATGAAGATTGATAAAACAAAAGAAACAAAGCAAATTTAATAAGAGATAATTTGACTATTAAAAACACTCAACTATTATCATAAATTTTATTAAATAAAATGGAAAAATTATTGAACATTTGAATTTTATTGGTTTTGATTATCTCTTGTCTAGGCAATTGGTTTTCTGATCATCCTTATGTGGAGAGTGATTTTGTGACTTTGTAGAGAGCATATCGTGCTCAAATCGTTTACAGAAGCAGTATTATACGTTAATAAGATAGTCCAACATGTTATTCACACTCTATCAATGGTGAATTCCGACATTCAGTGAATGTTGAAAATACCAGGGTAATGTTCAATTAACTGCACATTTCCAATTAACCAGAGTAAAAATCTAAGCTTCTTTGCGGTGTTATGTTGCCTAGGTAAATCTTTCATTTGTTGTTTACATAACCCTGGTTTGCAGCGTATCTTTCCTCTGACGACAATTGATTTATATTAGTATCAATGCAGTATAAATAAAACAGTCGCAAGAAGATTTAGTCAACCGCTACATATACATACAAAGCTATTTCTTTTAGCTTATCATTTTAGTACAAAATTGTCATTGGCATCATAGAAATTATTATGTATGCAAAATAATGAATAATTTTAGTCGTCAAGTGACTTGCAATTTCACATCATCGAATAATCAATCAAAGGCAATGTGCAATGTGCGTGAGAGGAGTGTTTATTTTGTACAAACCACGCATTGTTCTTTAAACCAATTACCTTCAAAATATTCAAGCTTCCACACATCTGATGCATATCAAGCGTAATCTTGCCGTTGAAAAATGTATCATGTTCGTTGTTTAAACGAAGTTTCATTTCAACACAACGTTATCATTATTTCATGGAATGGTAAAAGTTAAGATGAAATCACGGGATGCAACCACCAAAGAGCTTATATATGAAAATACATAAATTCAACGAGTGATTCAATACGTTTTTCACTAGATGGCGACACTGGTTTCAACAAATGTTGCCGCATTATATTTAGTATTTTCCACGTATGTATCCCATTCCCATTTCCGATTCTTACCACTCTTTCGGTGATGAATGATCGCAAATAGAAGAAACACAAAGTTTCTGAAAGAGCAGACAGAGAAAATTCAAACCCAGTCGTTAAGTTTAAGTTAGTATTAATTTTATATTTATTCGTGATACATTGCATTTTATTTGGTAATTTCATATAGTTTTTTTTTTTTTAATTACCAATAGACAACATTAATTCTGAGCTAAGGATAATGTTTAACATCTGTATCTTTTTTCTTCTAATTCACACTAATTGCATTCGGTTCAGCTCACCCGCATATTGAGTGGGAGCGAGAATGGATCTACAGTGATTCGCATAATCTTTGTTTGCAATATGTCTTTGTTTTAAAAGTTGTCCCATTATTCTCGCATTGGATTTTTTCTGAAAGTTTCCATCGACTACTTTTTTTTAGTATTGGTAAGATTAAGAAATGCAGGTTTAGTTTTAAAGACGGTTCAAAGAAGAAAGGTGAATTGTTTTCTCTTAATCCTAAACATTTTTTTTCTTTTTTGATATTTGATGTTTTTGTGTATGACATGAAATAAATCTGCATGTTTCTACAGTAAATAGTTGATGGTTCACAGCAGCGGAATGTTTTCCATGCGCGGCGAAATCATGCAGCAAAACACCGATAGTTATACAAAAAAATGAATTCATAAAAATGCACCGATAAAACAGTGTTTGAATATTGACTACGATTTAATCCTGTTGACTGTTAGTTTTAACACTTTGAAATTACCCTTAAGTATAATGTTTGTTGGCGCATGTGTTGTTTTTTTATTGTTTCGTCTTAATCCCAAGGAATACGGACACAGATTGAATATATTATGCTTATGCTAGTGCTGGTGGCACGCGCACACAATACAACAATTTCCACACGAAAAAAAAACTATTTGATATGCGACACATTCATTGCCGAATCGCGCATTTAGACATGTTCGCATGAATCGAGACATGGGTATGTATTTATATATATATGAAATGGTTACTGCCGATGATTGCAATTTCGAATAAAATATGAATAATTGTCAATTAATTACGTTAACAAGATTGACAAGCAAAATCTTGCTTATTTATTTAGAAATTTTCAAATCAATTGTCGATCAGCCAGGTGAGTAATTCATGTGAGTTTGTTTTTGCCTGATAATTGCGTGTTTATGACGGACAACTAAAACGTCTTAATACTTTAAATAACTATGGAGTTTGATAATTATTACACAATTGATTTATCACAGTTTCGTTAATTTTCTTGTTTTATCCATATAGTTTTATTTTTCTATCATCGATTTGGCTGCATTAAACCTGCGTGTTAAACGGTTCATTCAATATTGCGTCAGCGGAACGGATATTCTGGAAACATTACAATCTTCAATGGGTATTTAATAGAGACTCAGACTGAGTTTGTTTCGAGTTTGAAATCATATTGAAATGATGCGGCATGTTGAGTGAAAGAGAGCGCGGCGGTTTATTTTGAATCACTCGTCGAAAATTCAATAAGACAACAGAGGAACAAACAAAATAAAAGCCATCTATCTCGCTCTCTCTCCCACTCCATCTCCATCTTTATCCTGCGGATGATTTTCAAATCACGAAAAACATCCGGTTTGTGCTTTTATCGAGAGAGAGAGAAAAAAATGAGAAAACGACGACGACGAACAAACAATAATGAAGGAGAAGAGAATCGAAAGAAAGGGGCAAGGAGAAAAGTCTACCAGAGTAAGAGAGAGAGAGAGAGAGAGAGAGAGAGAGCAAATACACGAGCCTGTTTCGGTTTCAAGTTTTTGTTTTTTTATCATAGCCATTTGGCCGTTGTATTATTATTACTATTATTGCTCGCGCTCAATCCACGAGAAACGGTAGCTTCTATAGAGTTGGTTCGAGCTAGATGTATCGTATTCCGCAAAAAAATGCTCTTACTAATGAAACAATGTGGGAAAAGAAATATTGCTGTCGTTCAATTTATCTACGCTGCTGACCTATGCTTATCACGTATCGCTAAGTACTTTTTCCATTTCTTGTCGACTGACATTTTGCTGCATGATGCGACGTATTGTGTTGTTGGCACATGATGGTCGCACTAAACGTGGATCTTGATTGTGACCTTGATGTCCAGATGGTGGTGGTGGTGGCAGTGTTGCGTGACTGTTGATTTGCATCACATCGGGCTCGAAATGCGTGGCTTGATTATTCGACGGATAATACTAAAAACGAATAAATAAATAAAAAAGGAAAATTACGAGATGAGCGTCGTCCAACGAAAAGTGACTATGAAATATAATAGAAAAAAAAATTTGGAAGGAGGTGGGGAAGTGAGGCTTGTTCGCTCGAGAGAAGAAACAAGACCGCAGAGCTTCGCTTCGCTCCGCTCTGCGTTCTTAAGTTTTTAGTTATTTAATCTATTTTGTTGTTTCACAACAAACTATTTTTTGGCGCACTACATGAAATGTATTTCATCAAAGTAACTTTGAAGTAATATATTTATTTTCAAAATGAATCACAAGATCTTGGTTTTATTTCTTTTTTGAAATATACTGCCTTTGGTTTGAATTAAATAAATAATATGAGCATAGAATCTAAAATAACTTTAATTCTGGTCAAGACTCAGAAAATATTATACGAAAAATTAATGTAATTTTTAAAAAACATTTGATAATAAAAATTTGATTGGTGCTTTGAGATGTTGTGCTCTTATTTGTCGTTAGTGCACCTGTTTTAAATTAAATAAAAAATATGAGCATAAAATTCAACTTCACCATAATTTGTTTCATCACACTAAAAGTATCTAGAAAAAAAAGCAGATTAGTAGCTCTACATTTCATGTAGTGCTAAAAAAACGTAAGAGTGAGGGGACATAACAATAACAATAACAACAACAACAACAACAAAAAACCAAGCACAACGTAAGGAAGATGAACCGAAATCCATAGTGGTTTCAGTCATTCAGTTGTGTGCGAATAGTGAGCCGCTACTTTACTTACCGTTACACGTCCATTATCAAAATCTCGCTGCTCTTGGATCGTAAGCTTTGGTTTACCCTGTAATGTGTTCATTGCGGTGGCATTGGCCGGTTTTGTTTTGAATTTTTGGTGTTGTTTCATGGGATCGTGTTGCCTAAAGCAAAATTCAATCGTAGCCACGAATAGCGACAATATCAAGCCAACGATCAAAACGAAAAATATGCCAGCCAAATTGTTCAATGCCAAACCGTCGCTGGTGTATATATCGTGCGTCTTTTTATTCGCGCTATTGCATTTGGCTTGTTCGTGCCACCATTTATTCTGCAATTTAGTTAACTCGCCAGATTCTATGGCCGACAAGATGATGTAGTTGATTGCCATTCTGCAAGCAAAAGAGAAATCGTTTTTCTTCTTCCTCCTCTTCTTCATCATCTTCTCCTCCATTTGTTCTTTTCATTTCTTTGTCTTCACCCATCGCCGATCTAAGCCAGAGCAAATCGAATTTTCGCTCAATTTTCTTTATGCATCATCTCATTTCGCTTTTCGAACGAATAGATGATGAAATGAAACGAAAAAGAAAAATGAAGAAGACGACGAAGAGAAACAGACAAAATGTTGCCTACCTTAGTGGCGATCCGAGTGGGGTGCCAATACCAAAGCCTTGACTATCCAAATTTTGGCCAACTTTCATTGTATCACATGGTTCTTGCGCGTTGACGTAATCATTCTTCGGTGACTCTATCAAAAGCGCGTAATTTCCATTGCTACTTCGCACACGATGTACACCTTCTTCGTACGAATGCACCATCACTTCTGGATGCTTTTCCATGTATTCATAGATCTTGGCGTACGTCGGAATTGTTGACTTCTACAAAATGTTTGTTTTCATGAAAAGAATGAGAGAAAAAACGTCAGACCCATTATTTTTTTCCCGTCTTTGTTTTGGTTTGGGGACATGCTGCTAACATTCAGGTGACAACACCAATAAAAATTTATCGTTTTGTTTGGTTGCGATGGTGCGAAATGAATGCAGAAAACTTGACGACGCGCGCGTTCGCGGCCTTCGACGAAATTACATTTAGGGGAGTTAATGTGAGCTGTTTAGCAAACGGCACACCATCAGTGAACGATTCAATTGTGCTGCCATTCATTACACTACCTAATTTTCATTTTCTTTTGCTGTTTCGTTATTCACAACTAGATTCTAAGCAAGAGTCTATATTTCAATTTCAGTTATTGCCATAAAAAGCCAGCGAAATACAATCGTAACGAACGAACAAACAAACAAATGGGAAAAAGTAAGACAAAAAGAGGAAAGATTCTACTGTATGCATAGTACTGTACAACTTCCTCGGTCGTACTGGATAGCGTCGAAGTGAAATGCCTGCAATGACACATCAAACACCACAAACATACCGACGGAAGACTTCATCTCGACCGACCAAATTTATTTGCAGAAACTTTTTTCATTTGAATTTTTTTTTGTCTCATTCTCTCCGATTTATCCTGTTTGTTAGCAGCTCTCACACACTGAATGTTTCAATAAGTTTGTGTATTTGAGTTGTGTTGTGTGTATGGTAAACATAGACGCAAATAAATATGAAATGCAGGAAAAGGCAAATAAAAATAGGCAGCAGTACAGCAAAAGAAACGAGGAGAAAAAAATGCGTAAAATAAATAAGGTGTCAACAGCAGCACAATCAACGAAACGGAATATGGGATAACCGGGAAGGAGGAGGGAAATGAAATATTTCGTAGTCGTTGCATTTGAAAAACGACCAAACTTTGCTATCTACTCAATCTATTGGGGCTGGAAAATGGTGCGCTCCTTTTGTCGATGAAAAAGAGCACAATTAATCAGCAACAGCGACAGTAGCAGTAACAGCAGCGACAAAAAAACAACACAGAGCGAGAAAAAATGAGAATTATCGAGCGTTTGACGTTGTCGCTTTGACACAGATATTGCACAGCTACTCCCAAAAGTCAACCAGCAAAGGCATTTAGATCATTGCACGCTGTCAAAGGCAGGTACACTTCGATCGACCAGCATGCTATCAAAATTCATTGCACTCAATGTATGTACCAACACCAGCATACAAGAGCAACAACAGCAACAACCACAACTATATTGTCACGTAATGAAAACAACTGAGTTTTATCGAAAAATATTTACCTTAAAAAATTCCATGGTCGAACTATCGAGTAGTGTTCCAAACTGAATGGATCGTTGGGCAGCCAGCTCTTCGATTGAATTAATTGGTGTTGTCATTCGTTCGATTGTTAACAATGCCGCAAAATTAGCCGTGTATGACGATATTAAAATGAATGTGAAAAACCACCAAACGGCGCTGACTATTCGGCCGGACATTGTTGAGTTTGGTGACGCGTAATGGGCTTGTTGCATCAACGAGCTGAATGCAAACCAAAACGAATTCAATAAACTGAATTTGCCCGACATTTTGGCCATTACATGCGACGATGTTGCTGCTGCTGTGGCCGCCGACAACGGTGGTATGGTAATCGATGAATCTCCTATTTCCAACAAATCAAACAAGAAAAAGCAAATAAACATGCAATTGATAGACAAATGGGAAGGCAAGCGCCACGACTCCAATGAATGAATGTGCCCCCGTCCAATTGCTTGCTCAATTTTCACTAACATTTGGAATTTATGTATTTTCAGGTGAAATTAATTTTCTTGATTTTATCCGAATAAAATGCTTAAATGGATTTAGTATTGGTTTGCGGAGCTGACTGAGCCGGGCGCTTTTGTTTGCCAGAACGTGCTCCGTCAGCGGCGAAATAAAACGAAACTCATTTTTTGGCTATAGATTGATAATATGAAACCAGAACGAACATACCTTTTATTTGCACTGGTCGCCATTCACTTTGCGAAAACCGACTGACAATGTACAAAACAATGCTCACGCCGACATAGCTGAATAAAATGCAAACCTGATTTGTTGACGACATAATGTCAACCGTCGAAAATCACCGCAGAGCAATGTGAAACCGAGAAACGGAGAGGAAAAAAAAAGAAAAGTGAAAACGTAAAAGGGAGAATAAAACGGATGAGCAAGAGATGAACGTTTGCGTTTTACTCGAAAAGGATATCAATTTACTGTTTAAAATTTGCATTTCGATGGAATTCATTTAAATAAAACCAAATGACTCTTGATGCTTACCCAAATTTCTTTTGACAATGGGCTCATAAAACTGAAAAACGATTCGTTTTGTTTCACTGGTTTTTTGATCATGATTGAAATGCCATGATTCATGAAGGGCGTCGAAAAGTCAATCACACGCTCGCGTTCGGATGTTATCGTTAGTGGAGCAATGGCAATATCGGCTTCCTAAAGCAGAGAAATCACAAGTCAGTTCATTACAATTTCAGCTGAGCGCAAATACTATTTGCGCGGAAAATGGTAATATCAACATACCCGTCGAACCAGTTCACCAACCATTCCATCCCAGCCGCCGACTTCGTTTGGATTTTCAGTGCCAAATGAACCGTCTTTCACCGTACGCAATACATCTTCATTGACGACGATTGGTACAGAGGAGGGAAACGACAAAAATAAATAAATTCGAAAGAGACCGAGAAAGGGAGAGAGGAAAAAAAGATTAAATTTCACTAAAATCAGCTGACTTGGATTCGATTCGGCGAGACATACAATTGATTCCCAATTTGTGTGCAATTAGATCTGCAAGGTCTTTGCAATAGCCCTCGTATAATTCATTGCCTTCGAGTACTTTGCCTGGTTTTCCCTTTCTCAGCATAAAATACGGCTCTTCAATTATGGCTGTTACAACATAAGTGCGATTTCGTTCGTAATCAATGCGCGCCTGCACCCGATCGCTGCCACCGTTTGCTTTTACCGTCGGTACAAAGCCATATTGGTCAGACCAATCGGCCACCTTCACCATGCCACTGTCTACCGTCATTTCCATAATGTTCAATGTGTAGTTTTCGCGTCGGCCGTCTTCATTGAAGCGAATATCTCCGGTCAATCCTTCGATTTCAACCTTGTCAAATATTCGGATACGGATTCGAATTGTGAGTTATTGCCCGAGAATTTCAATGGGTGTGTGTGTGTGTGTGTGTGTGTGTGTGTGTGTGCAAAATGGAAATAATTTATACATATTTGAAGGTAAAGTACCTTGCGTAAATATCGAGAGATTTTGTCGCCATGCTCCCATGGATTCACCCAGCCCTTGCTGGTGTTGCAGTCGAGCACTCGATTCGCATTTGCATTGTTGGTTGTTGCATTTGCATTGCCACTGGATATATTTGTGACGGCCGGTGCCACCAGTTGTCCCATACGATTGCGCATTGTGTAACTACGAAACTGATCTGGCTTCTTGCGAAGTAATTTATTAAATGCTTCGACCAAAACGAACACCGCATCATACATCAATGCTGCTTGAGCCTTTTGGAATTTTTGGGAAATAACATACATTTGAAATTGAGCATTTGGCCACAATGGATCGAAATTTATTTTTTCTTCTTTGAAATAATCGTCGAAACTCACCGATATAGATTCCTTGCCGGCACCAATCGATGTACTCGGATCCAGGCTTTTCCATTCATCTAAAAATTCTTGCACATATCGTCGATTGTTGTCGACAATTCGAAATCCAGTTATGTTAATTGCACCAAATTCGCTCACTTCCGATTCCCATCGATCATCCATTACCTGTTTTACGGTGACCATAAACCATAACAAATCGTATTTAATGCCATTGCAAGTCGAAAGCTCTGAACATAAATCGTTTTGTGCACCGCCGTTTACTTCTGTCGTCTTCAAAGCCAAGCACTTTTTCTCTATAATGCTTTTTGAGTGAGTTTTTTCGGTCGGTCGGTCGGTCCATGTCGGTCGGTCGCTTATGTGTGTGTGTGTGTGTGTGTGTTCGACAAATTGCAAATAAATTGCGAATGAATGGCATTTCACGTTATTATGAAACAGAAGAAACACTCTAACATTTGGCGTTGTGAGAACGAAAAGATGCATATTCAGCATTAAATTTTAGTTTCAGATGGTATCACATATGTGGTGTTGATTGTGGTTACGAAAAGAGTGAAAAAGAAAACCGAAAACGACACCCAACCGAAACACACACATACACACACGAATGGTGAATAAAAAAATGCGCACACACACATAGAGGCGAAATGAATGTCCTGGGTTTTATGCTTTTGCTTTGTTAGCAAGAAATTCGAACGATATTTTTCCTCGTTATACGCCCCGTAATCGAAGGAGTTTAATTTGTTTCTCCTATTTATTGCTCTCCAACCACCGCCACTATCACTATCAAAAGCCTGCGTGCAAACGATGCATTTTTATTGCGCTACTGTCGAACATAACAAATAAAAAAAAAGGCAAATACACACCGAACAGAAGCGTCCCGAAGACGAAAGAAGAAAATGAAAAAGACACACACATTTTGTGTATATATCTATACACACAGAAAAAAAAACGCAACGCACATACAGCGAAGATGAAGATAGAAGAGTAGCCAAGATCAACAATACTACTTACCAGGCCACTGAGCAAGTAGTGAAATGTCCGTCTCCCCAAAGAAATATCACGAACATGATTGATAATAATTTCCTTTGCCATCTCGGTTGAACAATCCAAAACAATGAATTTTCGTGACCAGCGATTTAATGTTTCAAGTGTTCTCAAAAAATTTATTGCATTCGATACGTTCGCAATACGCTTCACCGTTTCAACTTGGAATGATTCATTGCCCGGTCGCAATCCTTGGTAGATTTGCTGTAGACGCAATAAACCTGTGTGTGGTGGATCCCCCGTTGCATTGTACATAAATGTGTCCGAGAATCGGTGCGATGGTGGGTAGCGCACATTTGCGTGTTTCAGCAGCATTCCATACACCAGCACACACATATACATATACATATACACATACATCAGGAGATGATGAGGAGCGCGTGCATAAAATGTATGAAATGGATAAAGGACAAACGAAACGAACGTGTTCAATTAAAACGTTTTAATTTATCGCATGCATTCAAAGTCATAAAAAATGGAAGCGCCAATTTTTTCTGCTCACAAACGAGCGCACTGTTTTCCCTACGTTGCCTGAACCCTTCTGTCAACTATACTGCGTGTCAATACTGATTTGAAATGAATCATAAAAATGAGTTATCAACTTCATATTTTCCGTGCATACCTACGTTGAATGGGCAATGGGCAGAGCAAACGAACGAACAAACGTTATAGTTAGCGAGCGAGCAAGCAAGCGAATGAGTGAATGGGTGAGCCAGCAAAAAGTGCTTCTATCTGTAGGGGCCACTTTTCAAGAGTTAATGCATTCAAGCTCTGTGAACGAACTCTTGAGACCAAACAACCCGGAAAAATACTTTTACGCTTTTCTTCCACCCAACGATTTAGTTTGGACGAGTGATGCAAACTATAAAAATAGTATCCATTTCAATAGGAACCTAAATCAAAGGGATCCTGACTTTCCGGATCTTTACTCGTGTTCTCTGTCTACATCTCGCGTAAATTTTTCACCAAAACCATTGAAGCAAATGGAGAGAGCAAGAGAAATCTGAAGTGATTTATTATAAAAACTGATGTACTTGAATTGACGGCGGAGAATAATTTGACCGTACATTCTTTTCAAATAACGTCTAGATTCAAAAAAAAAACAGATTCAAGAACAAATAATAAAACTGAGAAAATCGAATTAGCTTTCGATTATTATTTTTAAAAAATGAGTAAAGTTCATTTGCTTTTTTTCCTTCAAAACAAATAATTCCACACCGTTCTATAGAATGAGGGATAATATTTTTCCTCCGTTTTAATCAGATTATGTGTTTCGATGTTTGGTCCGTTCGTTCATTTCACACAATAAAACGTAAATTCTACATGAAAAAAATATTTCAACTGAAGTAAATGGTATCGATAACAGATAATAAGAAAATTATATCTAGTGAGACGACGCTTTTAATATTAATTTTAATTTCGACTTCTTCATTTTGCATGCGTCGGTTCATTAAAAGGATTAAATTTTGTGAGCACACAGAAGTGAAGATATCATTCGCTGGGTGAAGCGGAATTATGTGTACAGTATGCCGCCGACAGAATATTCTCGCTAAATTAAAATGGCACAAGTGAATGTCGAATATTTGAATAAATAATGTGCAAACTCAAAATTCGATTCATTTTCTTCCTTTGCTCTCTCTCTCTCTCATCATGTAAATGCGCCCATCAATTTCCATATTTTATAGTTTGTACGCCGAAAATGTGTCTGAAGTTTTATATGCTTTCGCTCGCTCACCCTCCTCCCTCCTCGTGCTCATGATTTCAGAATTCTTTTCGACTTCGAACTTTTCATTGTACCATTCGCGATTGTGCCATCAGCTATGAGAAAATATTAGTAAATTTATGCCGTAGGCAGCAGCTACTTTCTCAGTTGCATGGCTACCGCAGCATCAAAAGCTAGCACACATACCCGCATGGAAAATGGAAAATGGATTATATCAATGTGCTCCCGTCTTAATAAATTTAATTTCCGTTTTTTTCTGTATATTATTAACCCTCAATCGTGCGTACTTTTTTAAATTTTGAGAATGTTCGTTCTTTTGTATGGGTCGAAAGAATTAAAATAAGATACAACGAAAGCAAATCGCCCACAGAAATGTTGAAGATCGAAAGTGTCTGAAACTTAGCTAAATAACTGTGAAAAAGAAACAAAATTAAAGCACTCCGTTATGGAGTTGTGTGTTAGATGCAGACTGTTCATAGAGCCTACCCGAACACAATTATACCAAATGTATACTCTGAAAACCTGAACGAGCCTTAATAACCACAACTGAATCTGTCACTGAATAGCATCTCAAATGTGGTTTGATTTTAGCGCGAATTTATAATGTGAATACACCACATACCTCGAAAGTGCTTTGTTTATGAAGTATTATGATGTAGTGTATTCACATTATGAATTTGCGCTAAAATCATACCGCCTTTGGAGTGCTCAAACAATGTATTTGGCTAATGTCGGCTAGCTAACTGAAAACATTCTGGCTGGGTCAGTTGCTGATTAAACAGATATGTATGCATAGTTTCAATTTTGCTCAATTTTGTTCAATAAACCGACTGTCAGCAGAACCACGTCTAATCTGTTGACGTCATTATCGCTTCAAAAATTCTGGAAGTGGATCCTCAGGATGGACCAGGGCATTGTCAAACCCAGTCTGATCCATCCTGAAGATCCACCAGAACATATTGTTCAAGGTGAATATGAACAATAACAACGCATTCGGGCAATAATACAAAATATTTGAAATCAAGCGTTAATTTTACATGATTTAAATAATACAAATAGATTTTGCTAAATAAAATTTGGCGTGAAGCCCCTAGCAAATCTGCCTATCTTTTTGCATTGTCACTGTGCATTGTGCATTGTGCATAGTATATGTCCATAAGAAACGCCGGCCGATTTTGATGTTTAATACCACAAATCACATCTACTTTACAAGACCTTTCCAATGGCGTATATAACTTTTTAATCCGATGGCCCGTTTAAGACTTCGATTTTGGTTCCCACAGTTTAAAGGCCAAAAGATGGCCATAGGCCGGCCAAATGTTCTTCCAAATCATCCATTCGGTCAGAATTTCGATATATTTTCATATCCAATACTAAATTTCAACTGAAAATGTTCAAAAAACGTAGAAATAATATATTTCATAGGGGTATCCAAACTTATGGCCTGTGGTGTACATGATGTCGGTCGGTCGGGCGGGCAATGTTGCTTTGGGTGAAACGTGTTTCTGTTGTGGAATTTCGTATGGACGCCATTGCGTTTTCTTTTTAAAAAAAATAATGAAAATCCGCTTGTATTGTACGTGCGCCCATTTAGCCCTATCTTCTCCTCACACGCTTCCCATCCATTCTACTTTGAGTGTATAAAATGTAAATCTAAATGCCAATGTAAAAATAGTACACTCACCATCATGTGAATCATAAATATATATAATCTTTTTCCAGCCATAATATCTTATCGTGTCTATAATAGCTGAATGGTAATCGGGTCGCATCGAAATGGCGAAATCTAAAAAACCGGATGATGGTGTTAGTACCTGATGCGAATGTTGTTACGTGGTGTGTTGTATCGATATCGATTAGCATGTGAATAAAAAGAAAGAAAGAAAGAAAGAAGAAGGTAGAAGGTAGAAGCAAAGAAGAAAAACACATAAATCTTCTGGGTTAAAGGAAGTAAAAGAGAGCGATGTACTCTTTTTGAGTTGTCGTTGTCGTATCTCGTTTTGGTTCGAAGGGAAAATATTGTTTATATCTCATTTCAATTTCTGTGCAAATCGTCAAATATCAATAAACGATTGCCTGTCGTACCCACTCCCACCGCCTCCCCATCCTCCCTTCTTTCTTCTCTTCATTTCTCATTCCGTTTATATTTCGCCTTTAACAGTAAAATGACTGGCATGAAAATGGAAAGATTGCCAAACCGACAACCAAATACCGATCCCGATTCATTCGATATATACATACATATGTATAATATCTATATAAATGAACATCTCATTTCTGAATAAATGTTATCTATGCAAATGAGAGACAATGAAAAGGGAATATACTTTTATCGAAACACAAACTCGGCCTACCCTCACTAACTAGTACTATTCCCTTTGAACCAAAAACCGATTTCACAACACCAAATCACTACTGCCTATCCTTTATCCTATATTTATGTGTATTATTATTTTTAGAGAAAAAATCACATTGCAAGAAAAATTGTTTTCTTTTTTTTTCTCTCTCTATCTTCTAGCCTTTTTTTTCTGATTCACCATTTCGAAATGAGAGATTAGTTTAATGCTACAGAAATAGAGAATGATAGAGAGAGAAAAACACGCACAGCTGCTATTATTCACACAAAATATAGAATATAGTGGATTATAAGCATTTTTTTTACTCCTCGGTCTGAATGTCGTTTGACCTCTCATGCATACCTTTTCCGGAAACCATGGTGTGTTACACCATGGCGTAACAAATGGCATTTGAAATGTGTTGCTGTAGGAATGAAGTGTATCAAACGATTCCGGTGATACTGCACCAAGCATCGAAAAAACGCCCCGGGAAAATTGATTGCAAACTGTAAATGATAAATAAGATTTATAAAATTGGAAGCGCAACGATTCGTGCAAGTGTGAATAAAGACAACTTGTTGAAATGTTCAACATAGAGTGAGTGAATTGTAGTTGTCGTTGTTGCGATGGTAAATCAAGTAATTAGATACTATGGCAATTTTAGGGCAAAACAAATTGCAATTGAAATGGCATGGCGCGCGCTATGTCCGGATGATGGATCCGAAGAGAGGGAGACTGAGAGCGATACTCTGTCACCCTCTGCGAAAAAGAAAGAGCAATTAAGCTATGTTGCCAGAGCCAATCATGCACAGAAAAAAGAGAAGAAAAACTCGACACTCAACGACGATTTTCAGACGGAAAAAAAGAACAAAACGTAACAGAACACAATTCGTTCGAATTCTGTCAGAAAGAATTTTCGGTACACGACAATAAAAAAAAAAGTTTTTGCTGTTTCTTTTGCGTTTCCCATTGTTCGCGTACTGTCAAAAATCTTCATCTAAAACGAAAATCATATTAAATTGGAACAAGCACGCAGACGATAGAGAGAACGAAAGAGAAAAACGAGGAACGAAGAAAAAAAACGCAACAGCAGCTCACTGCTCGCTCGTTATGAAAACAAACGGAAAAAGCGAACGAGAGAAAATTTGACTAAAATCACTTTTTTTCCTATTTGATTCGAAACAAATCCCATTGTGCACAATAGGCTGTCGAGCATCACAGTTCTCCGAAGCATTCTGAATGTATATTTAATAAATGTCACTTCTGTAAACTGAGGATGAGAGAGAAGATGCCGAGCAAAAAAAAAAGTAAAAGAAAACAAAGCAGAAAAAAACAGCAATAAATGGCAGAGAAATAAAGCATCACCAGAAAAAAGAAGAAGAGAATGAAAAAAATAGAGCAAAAAGGGGATGAAATGTATTAAACATAAAGGCGTAAGAATATCGTGACAGTGTATAGAATTGTGTACTGCTACACCATGCCGATGAATGGTTCGGTCGGGGATTCGATTCCACACCATTTGTAATACTCTCTCTTTCTCTCTTTCTCTACCTCGCTTTGGACAAAAGCTACTTGCACGTCGATACACAACATTGTCTTAAAACGTCGTATACGTATTTATATTAAATGGCGAAAAAACGAGAAGGAGAAACTTTTTTCCAACTTAGCGCCTATTTCAAATAGAATATGCATGAGAAACGAATGCTGGTGTCGTGGTATGACAGCCTCCCGTTTTATTTAAGACATTCTCATTGGATTTGTGCGTCGGAAGTCTCTCTTTCGCTTTCAATCTCAATCTGTGTTTGTCTTGCCCGTGCCAAAAATAAAACAGGTTATCATTGCGAATAAAGGCTCAATTATCAAAGATCTCAAGCAATTTTTGGCAATTTCTTAGCATGGTTGTCTCCGTGTCATTCGCGAAAATGATACGCAATATTTTCTGCTGTGCCATTTCGTGTTCTTACGTTCAACGCCGTCGTCGTCGTCATCGTCGTCGCCGTCGTCGTCGTCGTCATCATCACAGTCTGTCTATATGGATGTTCTGTTCATACAAACAGTGTCGCAATACTTACTCAAACGTGATAGCTTAAAGGCATCTGCAGTGTTGATAACATCAACATATGCTTGTAATTCAAATCGCCTCGATGTCACATTCAAATTGTGATTCAGCATGGCAAATTTAAATGCTGATTGCACTTCATCTGTTCCTTGCTCAAATATTGCACCTGGAAAAGAAAGAAAAAAAGAAGAGTGAACAGAAGAAAAAACCGTGAACAATTCATGAATAAACAATTTCACAAGGAACTATACTATAGAATGGGGAAAAAAACGAGTATTAATAATGGCAAACTGTTGAAAACTGTATTATGCGCCATAATAATGACGTGATAGTGTTCAACATATTGCGTTTAAACTGGATTTTTTTTCTCTGCATTTAAATTGATCTTCTCCGAACTCATTCATTTGTGCGCGCTCGTTTCCATTTATCACACCACCTATATTCTCCGCAGACCATTATTACTACTACTATGAATTGCGTGTAGACATCTTCCATTTTGCGATAGAATCTCGACAATTTGAGTATTGCAAACGCTTCTTAATATCTGCGTTTTTCCGCTTTTTTCTTCTATCTCATCGTTTTTTATGGAAAAAATAAAGTATTTTTTTCTCTCATTGGAATGTGCACAATGAACGACGAGGAGAACGAAAGAAAAGAACAAAAAATGAAATAAAGCTCATTTCTCAGACACATAAATTTGTTTCGCGAATCGCCTGTACATGCTTGGTCTATGGCAGAAACCCATCGTAGCCATTGTGTCTTCATTTTTTTTTTGGTTTGTTCGCCATCAATTGCGTTTTTGATGTTAGTTAGCATTGAAATTGCGTGATATTAGTTTGAGATTTAGTGGATGACAGCACTTATTAATGTGTCTGCCTTTGTTTCGCAAAATAAGTCGAGCTTTGAACATTTTTCTTTGAATTCATAAAATAAATAGAACCAATTCTCATATCAATACTATTGATATCATCAACATCATATACTATATGAAGCCATATTAGTACATGTAGGTGTTGTCACAGAAAATGTGAAAAAATTAGTTTTTCATGAAAATTGATTGCCTAACATGGAAATTTTAATGAATTTTATACGCGCACTCATTCACATCACTTAAAGTGTACATTTTACATTAATGACAGATCCGCAACACCAGCCGATATCAATATTATGAACATTGTATGAGTTTGAAGTAGGTACTGTGTAGTAAGAAATGTGTAGAAACGATGTGAGAATATTGTTCAAGGAGGAAACTGTATACATTGACTTGTCTTGATCTACATGTTCGAACATGCATACATTGCTATTAACACGTACGAACATACTCGATTTCCAAGTGTACAAGAAATGTAGCATCTTCCATGTGCACGACTCGTTTCCCAAATAAATAGAAATGATTGTGTTCATATTGGTAAAACACCTTTTGTGAGATTACAAGAAGAAATCAAAATGACGATTGATTCGGAAATGGAATGGATGGACGAAAAAAATTGACTTAGATGACGAAAATCCGCTGTTTCGACATATAATAGTGATTGATTATGTAGTAAAATGCATTTGTTTAGTTAAATTTTAAAAGCGATTTTCTCTGCGTTTAGCACTATGTTACAATTCGTGTTTCATCCATTAGATAAAGAGGTTAAAAAAGCAAACAGTTTTTTCTTGAATGCAAATGTCCCTTTTTCAATCCGAATCTCGTTCAGTTCTTCATTTTAGAGAGATTCCATTATGAATCGCACACTATTCGGCGTTCCGTTCGCAAGAACTGGAGTGCTTTGAATCGCTCAATATTCGTTAACAATTGAAAAGGTGTATGGAATGGTGATCTATGTCTGTGGATATCCTTTTGAGTTATTTTACATTTACAACAATAAACTTTCCATTCATTTACAGCGTTCCAGATTTGTGTTCGCCATTCAATTCTGGAGTGCTTAAATTCACTGCAAGGCAATTTCAAATTGAACAGAGAATTTCTCTGCTCATTTTATCTCGCTTCATCTCTTTCGGCAAGCACACTTCCTTCGGTAACCCTATAATTGTGTGTGCGGATTAGTGTAAGATTGCACCAAAGAACGGCAAACTTCAATTAAAATTGAACTGGATTCAGGGCACTTGAGTGCAATTTTAAATATATGTAGTTCAACATTATTATAAAGTATTGAAACTGATGATACTCGAGCAGCCTTAAGTTAAAGCTTTCGTCCTTCCTGACGGCATCCAATAAAATAACAAACCATGTGTTCCATGCTCCCATTTGAATAACAAATATTTTCGCCGGAAATAATTCCCGGTTTGGTCGCCAACGATATATCATTTTTCCATTTCGCTAAGAAAACAAACTCACGCAGATGGAAACGTTGAGAGAGGACAAAGACAACACACTAATGGATAATAGGTTTAGTGATACTATTTTTATTTGTATTTTTTTCCCTTGCGTCGAATGTTTGGGCTTAGAAACTACATTTTACATACAATCTAATGGTTGTGATATTATTATAATTTTTTTGGCTGAAAAATTGCGGGACTGATGTCGAGAGTTCGGGTTTAATGCCTTTTCTAGGCTCAAGTTTGATTTTTTACTCCAAACAAGCTGGTATGATTGACATATATTAAAGTACTTCAGTTCTTCCAATGAATAAAAAAGGAGGAAATAACACGGGAAAAAGCCCTAATACAGATGTATGCTGGTGATTTAGCTGCGAAGTGAACGGCAGAGAGCAATATTCATCGGCATCGAAACCGTTGTTTATCGTTTCGTTTTACAAATCGATTTATCGTTTCAATAAACAAAAAATTTCGTTGCCAAATTCTGTGTTTGTATGCTCGCGCCATAGTTTATATAAAAACAAGCCATAATAAAAACAGCACAGTGCAAAACAAAACAACGTACATGAAAATCATTCTTGACTGTTCGTTGCCGGGATTACGCATCGCAAGTCGTCAATGCAAAATATAGAACAAAACAGACATTGTTTTAGGCGGAATCGCTTAGTGGTCCCAAAGATTGTGTGCCCTTGTTCTCTTATTACCAGATGGAAAAGAAGGAAAGAAAGAAATAAGGTTTCGGCAGCAGCAGCGGCTGTGGCAGCCGAACATCGGTCGCTATGGCAAAATTCTGTTGTTGTATATTGCTTAGTCTAATCCGATTGAGTATTAAATGGCGCGAAGATGCGTGGACCGAAACAAGGAACCAAAATCATTAATCATTATTTATTTGCAATTTATTTTCGATCGCAAATGTAGATGCAATCATACATCACCCTTCCTTCCGAAATACGCCGATTCTTTTTCCGACGCCTAAGCGATACTCTCTCGTCTATTTATTTTTTTTTTTTTGCTTCTTTTCGGTTTTATGCTGCCACAGACGCTGCCGTTCGTTCGCGCTCATTCTTTGGTTTCTTTTTTGACAATTTCCCTCTACTTTTCGTGTTCCCGTCGATTCAGTCGATTTACTGATTGTTGTTGTTGCTGTTGCCGCAGTAAAAAAAATCCAAATTTACATCCAGGCTTTGCTCGCGCGCGCGAAACACAATTACCACGCATATCGATGTGTGATTTTGTATGCGCTATGTTATATTGTATTGTGTTTTGTGTGTTGCGATATGAGAGAAACAAAAACCACAATCAAAATAAAGCGCACATTGTGCGCTAGTGTTAAACGGTAATATCATTACCGAGGCGAAACAGAGGGGGAGACGCAATGCGAGCAATGGAACCGAATATGAGCCAATGACTTTTGTATTTGGAAAATTCGAGGCGAGATTTACCGGCAATAAAGCTCGTAAGTCTTGAAAATTTTATTTCGTATCCCAATCATTGCAATTATTAATGGGGAAAGTGATTGATATGCTATATTCACTGTGCGGCATAGTCGACAGTACGCGAAATCTCTCACGCATTTAGCCACAAGCTAGAGACGAACACATATATAGTGGTGGTAGTGGCAACCAGGGCATGAGTGTGAGAGTAAGCGAATCATAATCATTGGTCGCCAACACATGAATCCGTCGAATGTGAAATCGAGAATGTTTTCATTTGCCATTCAGGATCCAAATGAGCCTCTGCAGTCAAAATAATTATTCGCTGCTAATGGGATATCATTTCGTATTATGTGATATACGTAGCACATGCATACACATAAAATACATATTCATTTTGGCCATTGTTATATGATTCGGCAATTGTTTTTATGGCCAAATATATTATAGATCGAATATAATGTTTGCCCGCCCGATCAAGAGAAAGGAGTCGCAAATTCATTTTTGCATTGCAATCTTCTGCAACCGAACTCACACCAAATATTATTTTCATTAAAACACACCCTCCCCCCAGCCCTTGGTCTTAGTATATGTGCATGCATATGACTCTGGAGTGTTCTCTTGTATTAACTTACCTAATGGAATTTTTTCTGTCAGAGTTTGACCGCGAACAATGCTCAACCCAGTTAACAATATGATGGCGCACTCAATAAACGTGTTTGTTCCCATTTTGTGCGTTTTTATTTCGGATGATGTCGCCGGTTGTTGTTCTTTGTTGTTGTTGTTGCTGCTGCTCCTGCTACTACTACAAGTACTATTACTACTACCACTACAGCTGCTGCTTTTGTTGTTGCTGCGGCTGGCGGTGGTGCGATGCTGCTTGCACACTGAGCTGCCTTTATTCAGAGCAATTATTTCCTCTTGTCACGGAATATTTTATGTTTTGCTGTCGCGCTCACTCGCGCGCAATACCGTTCATAGACACAATAACAAGCTTATTACCTGTTTACGCTGCGCGTGTTTTTTTAAATAGTGAAAACAGTTAGTTGTTTTCACTTATTAAATGAATTTCACGGAAATGCTTCTTAATCACAGAAACACGCTTGACGTCATGTGCGCGCGCTTGCATTCCCAGGATCTAACTAATTTTAATGCCGATGCTCATGTACGGAACGCATAAATTCGCTTAGTACAAGACGAGAAAAAAAATTTTTTCTTTCCAATTGTTTCAGTTTATTTTTCTTTCGTTGGTTTGCTAAAATTTCAGCTGCTGTTGCCACTGTTGCTCCATTCACAAAACGGTGTGCGATATGCTTTTGTGTAACTTTTCCTACTATGTTTTCAACGAAGAAGAAAACAATAATCACGCACACAATTTATGCTACATTCACACGAAACTATGTGGTCAGTCGACATCTGTTTTGCTCTTTTGCCCCGCCGCACTCCTTTATGTATACATGCATTTATACGTATATCCGTAGTGTTGTTACTGTTACTGTTAATATTTAATCGTGATTGTTGTGCGACGAGATTTATTTTGGTTCATTCGCATTCAGTTGAATTGAGTTGTTTTTCCACTTGGCGTTTGATATCATACATCTCACTTTTTTTATGGTTGCACTTTATTGAGTCGGAGTGTGGATGCGGACAGTTCTATAACACGCGCCAGTTAGTTTACGTCCGTTTCGGTTTTTTCTTCGTTTTCTATTCTGGTTCTTGTTCCTCTTCTTCTTTCAAAAAGAAGTGTAAAATTTATCTTGAAATACTTGTCAGCTCAAATGTTGAAGATCCGGTTGGACAGCAATTTGTAATTTGGTTTTGGTTTTTCTTTGCATTTCATTGTTTTCGAAATTAATTGAAGCGCCACAGAAACAAACACTGAACTAATTTAAATGCGAAACATTCTTATCTAATTTCGTTCTCTCTGTTTATGTCTGACACATTCTCTGCGAGATATTTTCGATCGAATTAAGAAACATTTCTCTAAACTACATTTGACCAGTGAAAACAAACAACTCTTTATTTATCTGAAATTTGCATACAAAAAGGAGATGGAGGTGAAGGATAAAAACAAACGAACGATTGCGAGGAAACAGTGTTCGGAAAGTTTGCAACACACACTCTTACAACGTACACTTCCCGGGCTTCTTTGAATGAATATGCAAATCTATTTAATCGAATCACATCAAATCAAGTTGAAACATTTATGCCGCAAAACACAATCGAATTATCAACTCAATGTTTTGCAGACTCGAAAATAAATCATCCAACACTTTTGTTTTCACATACACACCACTATTGGCTTTGTTTCTCTATACTCTCATCGATGAATATTACATAGCAATTTAAATTTTCGCGATAATAATATTCCGTGAATAATATTGGAATAATTAATTGGATTGACTCTTTTGTGCGCGACTATTCAATTGAAAATTGAAATTAACACACCGAACTAAGAACTTTGCTGTACGAATGATGTGTGATGAGCACATATTCGTTTAGCAGAAAATTCGGATTTTTCTCTGAACAGACGATTTAGGTCACGAGCTTTACGAGTCGAGACGACACAAACATCCAGCACAGACTGAACCGTTTTGGTCGGGAACATTTGCTTTATATTGGAACTTTGATAGCTTTGGCTTTTGTTTGTATTAAGCAGGAGAGTGTTTGGATGCTGTTGATGCTGACACCGTCTATGACGACGATGACGATGATGATGTTGCGGCATGTCGATGTGTTGTGCTTATCAACGGTTCGCTTCAGCTTAAAACTCTACATTGCGGGAGCTGGATGGAAAGCGCTTTCACTGTGTAATATAACGCACAAAGCAAACGAGAGATGTGTGCCAAACCAAAACTGTATGTTCGCCATCCCTAGTGCATGTGTATGCATGTGCATGTATGGATGGGATATGGAGTATACAGTACAGTGAGCTTGTATTTGATTTTCCACTGGAAATCGCAATCCAATGCGTCGCATCTTGCGTCATATCTTTGCAGCACACATCTTAGTCTTGTTCTACATAATATCACAGTAGCCAGGGCATAGCACGCATTGCGTCGTCATCGTTGTCGTTGTTGGTCTCCATGAAAGAAAATTATAAATTATTTGCGCGCTAGCATTTACATAAAATTTCCTTTTTTAGAGGGTATCCGATGGAATTATGTATATTATACTACATATAATACATGAAATATACGATTGTTCGATGTCAATATTACGCGAAATGCCAGTGGAATGACAATAGCAACAACAATAATGGTAGTAGAAGCAACAGACAATGCGGACGACAATGCCAAAGAAAAGAGAATCGAAAATGTTGCTTTTCAAACATCGATCGAGTGGCGTCGTGATTTGGTGAGCGAAGTCATGTGCTGTGTGACATTTACGCTTCGCTTTTGCACAGATAATGTGTCACAGCGCATCAAAATGGAAATGATGAGAGACAGATACAGACACACAAATGGTTAAAATGCTTTGACTAACTAGCAGTAAGAGTGAGTACCGGAGAGGGTCTAAAACCGACCAAAAACCAAGCTGACATAAAATCCTAAAATGGTTAATAGCCTAAAAAACCTAATTGTTTTATTTTCCGCTTAAGTTCCGGTTTCGATACTAAACTTCGCATAATGGCTTCTTCTAATGCATCATATTGAAGATGTGGTGAAAATGGCATGTCTTCGAGAGCAAATACAAAGGCCGAACCGTCATCAGTCCCAACCGCAATGGATTGGCCACAGCCCGTAAAATAGCAAATCGTCAATTCGGTTGTTATATTGGTGCTGTTGCCGTTGCTGATGTTGTTGCTATTGCTGCAATTTGTTTCACCGTACCACTCGCTCAAGCGATGTACAGCCGCCGGTAAAAGGCAGTTTGTTTTTATATCCCAAATATTCAGCGAAGATGCGGTTGTACAGGCAATTATCGTTGAGTTTGCTGGACACCACGATGCACATTTGATTGGCTCAAAACCGCTGCGTAATTCAATAATTGGCTCCTCAATATCCTCAATCCAAATACGAATATACCTACAGAAATCAACACGACGACAAACGAGGAGTTCGATATTAATAGCACATACATAAAGACAGGTAAATATATTGATGCACGATTCACATTGGAAATATGAAGGGAAAAAATAAACAACAGCAACATAAAATCTATACCAATCAAATCCGCAAGTTAAATAGATTTTTGGACTCCACGGTGAGAATTGCATCGAATAAATGCCATGCTTGTGAACCTGCTTGAAGCTTTTGTGTTGAAATGAGTCGTATATGGAGCATTCATGAATGATACCTTCGTCGGTTCCAACATAATAGACGTTCGCCTTGATTGGATGCATTTCAATCGTTAGCAATGGCGCAAATCTAAACATACAACCACAAAATGCGATTAAACCATGTGAAAGTATTGAAGTTAATATCCGTAATATACGGAAAAATGTGTGCACCTATTCGCTGGAATCTGAATAGTTTTGGTTTTGGTTTCGTCCAAGAAAATCTGTATTTGACGTGATCCAATCAGAAATGTATTGCTTGTTATTGTGTACAACATGACAAAACCATCCTGTGAAATGGTCAGAAGTTCTTCGTCGGAGTTTCTAGCTGTAAATTAACGAAAGTATTAACAATAACAATAATAAGAGGGAAACAAACTTATTCCAAGTGTGGTAGGGATAAGGAAAATGGACTGAGAGAATGTGTGCTCCTTCAACGCTACTTATGCAAATCATCTGTTCGAAACACTTCTCGCTCCACCCCTTCCACTACTATCTCAATATTCTTCCTCTTTGTCTCCATTTCGCTCACATTTGATCCATTTCATCTGCCAAACGGGCTCAATGCTTGGTGACGTTTTCCGTTCACTTATCGCTACCAAATTAGATGCATCACCCATTGTTATGTCAATGATACGAATGCTGCCGTCATAAAATCCGATCGCCAACATTTGTGAATTTTCATGCGAAAATGATACGGCTGTAACGGGCACGGTATATTTGAAACATCGCTCTGGATTCACTGGATTCTGTGTAGGAATGAAAAATAGATGAGTATGTTTTTGTCCAAAAGTCAGTTTCACGTCGTTTTCCAGTGTTCGATGTACTTTGCCATTCCCACGCACATGCACACGCTCACCATAGCTCACAATTTATATATGATTTTCGAACAAATACAGAGTGAGCGAGCGAGATTATTGGTTGGCGGGCATTGTGAAATGTTTGCCAATGCATTCACTATTTATTCAATAGATTATCGCATTTAGTGAAAATACTGTGGCATCCAATTGAAGTTGGTTGAAACCGAAAATTTATTAAAACTTTGAACGTTGTGTGAGCGAGCTGACTGGCTGACTGGTTGTGCGTTATTGTATGCCTCGGCTGTCAGTTCGCTCACGAAAAATGCCATACTTTAATATTCCACAAACAAACGGCGCTGCGTTCATGTTCCTTGCATGCTGAACATTTGAATACGCCGTAGCCAATAGCGAGTATATCCGTATTACTGGGGCACCATGACATGCATGAAACGGCACTGCCAGATGTTTCGTGATATCTGTATCGATAGAGGAACTGCAAGCGATACAAATAATTCACAACTGGCTCCAGAGATTTTGATGTGTGCATGTTGCGAAAGCGTCGCTGATACACATGGAATATATTGCCAGCCAGCACTCGTTGCAATATCATCGATGACAATTGAAATGATTTGCTCGTTTCAAGCTCTTCACTTAAATCGTTGCAGCCGTCAGCTCTCGTGTATGTGGTTATATCTAATTGCTCGTGTCGATCGTCATAGTCGATTTGAATGCATTGCGTTGTTCGCTCCAAATTCGTATACGTATCGTGTACCGTGTAATTCGATACAAATGTTCCAACCGTTGATTTTTCAATGTGATTTGTGTTGATGGCACGTGTTTTATAGTGCGCATCAACTGTTTGTGTTTCCACGTTGTTTGTTTTTCGGTGTTTTTCTTTGTCCATCATCATGAGTTGATCGTCCCGTTTGTCATCCTCTTGTGCATCGGTGGCGACTGTGCCGCGAAGCACCGTATAACTATTGTTCTCGAACAATAGTAAGTCATCAGACTCTCTCAATCTAATTTTCATGAAAAGCGATGCACTCGTCGATGGTGGTGTAGGCGTTGTCGCTAAAGCCTGCGACGGCAATTGCTCAAAAATGTTCACATTTTCCAATTCGTTCAACGGCGGTGATTCTGTTGCATTCACAGCATTGTTTTCCAGAGACTGCGAGGCCTCGTCCAATGCCTGCTGCTGCTGCTGCTCCTGCTGTTGCTATGAAAATGAAATAAATAGAGATTGAGTGTGCCGAAAATAAAAGTCAAACTCATTTGAATGATATTCGGTCGTGACAAGTCTCGCAATCAGTAGAGCCTTGTCATGTTGTCTGTGCATATACCCAACCAGTCTACCAGTGTGTTTTTGTGTGTGTGTATCTGGTATGTGGCATGTGGTGTATCGCTATTGCAAACAGCCGAGCGCCACCGATCAAATTAATATTTATGGTTATCTTCGTTCGACCGCCCACACATTTGTTCAAGCCTTACATAAATTAATGTTACCTCAGAAATTAAATCTGCCATAATTCGACGATGTTTATCTTCTTTCGGCGTCAAGCGATGGGCCTTGAAAACTTTTTAATTTGAATTATCGGATGAAAAATGTTTGTGTGTGTAGCCAATTCAAACACGTAGGCAAAATAGCACTGTCCTCTCTCTCTCTCACCCTCCCCAGCGCACACACATCAGCCAATAGTCAAGAACTGTTGCAATACACGAAATAAATGTCGGGTTCGTGTGTGGGGAAGTGTTTTTGAAATAGCCGACAGAAATGTTATCAGCAGCAACAGCAACAGCAGCAGCAGAGAGAGGGAGAGAGCGTGAAAAGCCAAAAGCGTTCATTCGCCAACATCGATGGACTCGGACTGGATAAAATGAACATGAAGCTAATATTGCCAGAGTCATACAGTCCGCAGGGTTTTTTAGCTCAAACAAATAATTTATGTGAACTAAATTTATCGATCAAACATCAAGCAATAGCAATAGCAATAGCAACAGCAACAAATGCCTTAAAATTGGTATGAAGAAAATGGAAGTTTTGCTTGTTTCATTCGTTACTAAACGAGACCCTCTTGGTTGTTGGGGACTCTCCTCATAAATATATGCGGCGCTATACTACTAATGGCTTTAAGATGACACTTCTTTCATTATGAGTTAAGCTCGCTTTGCAAACGGCTTTACTACCGTTCGTTCGTCCGAATGAGTGAATGACAACACAGGCACACATACATACAGAGAGAGAGAGAAGGAGATCATGTCACGACCCGAAAAATTTAAATTGCCTAAGTAAATGCTAGTTTTTCCTTTTTAAACTTTGCCACTATATATACCCATATAGTGTGTCAGTCGCAATCATCTGGATCAATTTCAGTGACGAAGTAATAAGTAAAGAGTGTCATCACATTAATTTTGATACCGCACGAACGCTTGGACCGACCAATGTGCTTATACACACTCTCTATTCGTACATACACTTAATTAAAAAGCAGAACGCACCGAATTGAATGCCATAGAAATAAAAAGACTCTTTATATTGATGCAAAACAAAAATGTAATTCAGAAAACATATGAAAACCACTTGTGCTAATATGTGACGTACAGTCATGGAAATTTAATTAGGACCGGCATTGAAATTTCAGTTTTTTCCCATTAATTCTGTTATTTTACAAAAAAATATTCATGAAATGATGTTTATGAGGATATTTGAAGTTTTTATAAATGGACTAGACTATCAATTTCATTATTTTCGGTAATGGATATCATTTATAGATGAAATTGCCCAAAAAATGCGGGAAAAATAATTAAGACCTTCCATACAAAAAATGACAAAATTTTTCGAAAAATCGGAAAATTTATCATTTGTTTGACAAAATTCACTCCACCGATGGTCGTATTTAATTGAAATACATTTTTTCCACATTACCATTTAATAGATTTCAAATTTCTTAACAAATTCGAAAAGTTACAGACCAAACTAAACTTTATAGCATTTTTTGTATGAAAAATCGTGGAGGAATCATAGTTTGGTCTGTAAATTTTCGAATTTGTTAAGAAATTTGAAATCTATTAAATGGTAATGTGGAAAAAATGTATTTCAATTGAATACGACCATCGGTGGAGTGAATTTTGTCAAACAAATGATAAATTTTCCGATTTTTCGAAAAATTTTGTCATTTTTTGTATGGAAGGTCTTAATTATTTTTCCCGCATTTTTTGGGCAATTTCATCTATAAATGATATCCATTACCGAAAATAATGAAATTGATAGTCTAGTCCATTTATAAAAACTTCAAATATCCTCATAAACATCATTTCATGAATATTTTTTTGTAAAATAACAGAATTAATGAGAAAAAACTGAAATTTCAATGCCGGTCCTAATTAAATTTCCATGACTGTACGAGTAATTTGTTTCCATTGGAAACTCTCTTCATGCTGACTTGCGATTTTGCTTGTACAAAAGCAAAAACTTCAATTAAGTCTATAGAGTTCAATTCAAAATTCCGATTACAAAATATACGCACGTTTTCATTTCGCAAAATACATAGCATTCGTTAGCACATGAAATAAGACAGGCGAAATGTTTCGAATCAGGCGAACGGAGAGCGTGGCTTTATTAAAGACGTTTTATTTACAATCATCACGTTTTTAACAGATACAAAAGGTTGGCTGTCAAATATAGAATCTCATAATCCATTATTGTCATTATTATTATTGTTATGTGAAACGCGATACGTATGAATAGATTAAGTGGGGGCAGCCACCGCATTTCGATGTGAAAAGTCTCAACGCATTAAAGAGCCCGAGAGGATATGGCAGCAGTGAGAATGGTGGACAGGAATTAATGATTTCTAGTCAATTCATAAGCGCGTACTAACATTACATATACACGTATAAATACATATATACCTATATATACATTATCAGTTGTGAAACTTCAAACTGTGTACATCATCAAATATGCGCACGTTTTGAAATTACCGCAGTTAGAAATAATGTTCAAAACTTGAGTAATTCGAACACGGAAATTCAAAGTTGTTATTTTGAAATAGAACAAAACAGCAACAATGAAAACAACAGAAAGAAGGAAAAGTACAAAACCTGCCAAGAATATTGAACAAATGAACATCTCTCTCTCTTTTTTTTAAAATGGTTGTCTCTTTTGTCGGTTTCGCCGAGTCGCTCTGATTGCTGTTGCATTGTTCCAATCTGATGGCCAATTAACTGACAGCGCCAATGGAACGAAAAAAAAACTTTTTTCTCTCCTCTAATTTATTTCGTCCAAAAACGATGCGTTGTATTGTTGAGTTTTCGTGTTCGGCGGGTGATTTTCCATAAGCACTCCACCAGGCTGCGTGTGCCTTTGACTTTTATAATGATACCTAAGTTTATAACGGTCGGACAGACGGACGGGCAACATTCGTTGGGCATCACAAAATTTGAAAAATAAAATCAGTCTTCTGTTGAAAGCTCACTCGACGAAACAAGATTGATAACTGCTCACACTTTCGGCACGAAATGAACGTCTGAGTCTCAATGCGAATGAATAGCTTGTGAATGTTGAATGAAAACGGGTCCAGCACCTACTAACTATGGATAGCTGGGTTTTGATATGAGTTCTTGTTGTTTTTTGTATATAACTTTTCAAATATAATCCCGTCGACTTTTTTTTCGGAAGGGGAGAGGTCTCTGGAGAGCAATAAGCGACTTTTGCACGCTGAATAGCTGTGTCAATAAGCACAGCACAAACAATCAAAGTTAATGGTTTTTTTTTCATCTTTTTCCCGTATTGCCATCCAGACGACCAGAGCCATCTGAATAATGGACTTTGGCTAAAGTGTTGGTACTACATATGGAATTGATTTTATTGCTTTATACTCAGCCAAATGTTCTAACAATCGACCGACCGTGCGCCCAACCGACCGACCAATCAACCAACTGACCATACAGCCAACAAGCAGGCAAAACAAACTTTTCCATACTTTTTCGTATTGTGTATTTATTGATGGAAAGTTTTTGATAGGCATTGTTCCTACAATGTTCAAATCACTTGATTTTCCCAAAAGTAAGTTCTTAATTGCCTGAAATAATGAAATCAGTCATCAAATTGATGACGACATCGACGACAACGACGATCGATGGCGCAGCGGCTGGTGCGGCTAAAATATGCAGTCTTCATCGTCTTGCGGTTTTAGCAATAGGTCAATCATACTGCACTCAAATGTGGTAAATTAGTTACTTTATTTCATCAATTAATACAATAACGGGAACAATACCGCAGTCGTAAACTGATAAGTGGGTCTGCTATTCGATGAACTAATTGGGTGAATGCATGGAATGGGTCGAAGCGATATTTAATGAAATTCAATAAGAAAAACACTGAAAACCCGCAGAGCAAACAATATTGCCCATAGGGTACCACTTATACTGTGTAGTTATATATTATAGCATGTGAGTGTGTCCGTCTCTCTGTGTATGCTTTTGTTGGCAAGAAATCAATAATGGGAATTTCATCACTTAAGCAAATAAATTTCTGGCGCAGCAACGCATCAGCTTTCTCCATTATCACCATCCGATGCGCATGAATAAGTATGCAAACTTTGACGATTTACTTCTAATAATTGTAGAAAGTTGGTCTAGCTTTTTTTCATTCTGATCATTGTGATTGTGAGGAAAAGCGCTTGCCGCTGATGAAATGAAAGCCATTTTACTGTTTTATCGTTTTGTTCGTGTTTCAGCATTCCTCAAAAGGATCAACATATCTGCTTCGCTGTCAAAAAATCAGCTCTGGTGGACTATGGAAAATGTGCTCTCTCGCTATCGAATTCTCAACTCCATTGGTTGAGATGCGTCTCATCTCCTATTTCCAAACGAAAATAAACTACGCTCTTGCACTCGCTTTATTCTGCTACAATTTTGTGACTCTTAAAATTTGTTTGCATTCAATTTTGAGTCTCTTTAAATATTTTTTTTTCGATTTTAACTATTTCAATCATTTTCATACCCTAGCGTTATAGTGGTGTGTGTGTGTATTATCATTTCTCACCATCATCGTTGCCACCGATGTTATTGTCTCCGCTGACTTTGCAACTGCTATGTCTCCCTTGTAACTATTGTACCGGCGGTGCCCATTTTCGTTCTTGCTGTGACGAAAAGTGAAGATGGGCACAATTTCCTCCTCGACATTATTCAATATGTACGGTTGCCGGCTAAATGTACATTTTCACAGCGAAACAAAACATTCTCGCCAGCATCCACCCACCCATCCATCCATAGGCGCACACACACACACACACATAAAGTTTTAATGACGGAAACGTCGTGTAGCCATTAAAATTGCTTCAAATTTTATTCGTAAGACTAACTTTTCGTTTTAACTGCTTTGAAATTATTTTCAATTCCATTTTATCATTTAAATGTAAGTATTCTGTGTGTGTGCGAGAGGAAGAAGAGAAGAGAACGAGAAAAAGGAGAGAAAGAGAAAGCGAGAGAGAGAGAGCGAGAGAATCGTTTTTGCCGATTTTCCCTGTTCTGTCTTTCAATGTGTACATTATGTGTGCCATAATGTATTCGTTCGTCGACTTGGCTGCTATTTCTGTCTTGAGCCATATCTTGTCGGTCGTTGTCGCCCGTTTTTTTAAATATTGTTATTATTATGGTTCTCTCATTGTTGTTCGCATTTGTCTATTCATTTTGCTGTTTCTTTTTCAATTTTTGGTTTGAGTTTGGTTTTCTCGTTCGTTTGCTCTCAGCTTTCAGTCCGTGATTCAGAGATGCAAACACAATGACGGATGGTCAGAGATGCAGAGGGACACGGTCGGTGTTAGTACGGTATGCACGTTGTTGTTTGAAAAATTTAACAGATTAAAAATGACGTAAGCGCACACATTATGAAAATACTTTGTGAATCGGCGCTCATTTTGAACATACAAAATATGCATTTGACAATACAAACGATGCCGACAAAAGCTTTTCCGTGCAAATATATGTATTTGGGCGCACAATATTGCATGTGTATCTCTCCCTCTCCCTTTTTCTTCTCTCTCTCTCTCTCGTTCTCTCTCTCTCTCTCTCTCTCTCTCTCTCTCTCTCTCTCTCTCTCT